TGGGGATGTTTAAAAATATGGGTTAAGCCTGATGTGTTCTCATGCTCTGTCAGTGTGTCCAATAAATACCGTAAAGGGAGAAGGGGGTTGAATGAAAATGTTCCGAGAAACTGCTTTTCATGAGAGCAACCATGAAAGTGCATTGCATAAAAGGAAACAGGAGCGATGAAAATGAGTTACCCCGCCACCAGAGTCTGCCATTAAGCACTTTCAGTTTGCACCACTCAGCTCTACTTTCCCCTCTAAAAAAAAAGTATCTAAATCATCACACCTACTGAGAGAGCTCTTCTGCACTCACAACAGCACACCTTTGTGTTTGGATGAATTCGTGTCGCTTGGTCCGCAAGCAAGCATCCAGATACCGTGTGTACGTTTCTTTTCGGCCACACATTCAAAAAGGTCCCCGAATAGACGCTGCTCTCCTGCGTTATGCCACGCGCACTGCCACGTTCATCGGGCCTGCTGCAACTCTCCTGCATGTAGCACGAGGGTGTGAGCTTGCGTGATTTTAAATCTGCTATCCCACGCATGTTGCTGCTTGCGTGCCGGGAAAGGCAGCGAGCCTGCATGCCACTTTCTTCATTAACTCCAGGTTACTCCGTGCACACTGTGTCACTGCCTCAGAGGTCTGTTTTGAAATGAATCATGCAGATGCGCTTTCGCTCTTAGTTCCAACCCAGTGGTACATGTTAATATGAAATTAGTCCCACTTTATCCTCCTGATCTGTACATGCGCGTGCTGTTATTGCTCTCCGCGATAAACCAGCCCCTCCAAACTGAGCACTTAACAAATCAAAGTTGGAACATCAAAGTTGTGTGAGTTGATGGCATACGAGATTTCTTCTGATGTTGTTTGAAGCAGTTTAGTGCATTAACTATTCCCTTCTTCATCTTTGAAGTAACCACTACAATAAGCACAACGGAATTGTGCATTGAACTAAGATAACACAGGACTCCTGCACCCCTGTATTTTACTGTGACCAATTCTCCTCTTTAAAAAAGAAAAGAAAATGCAAAGTTCAGTATTCAGCTGGGGAGGATGATCAGCTGGATCTCAAATAAGTGGCTTTGAATGGACCTCAGCAGCACAGGGCTGTGCAGCAAAGTGGTGCTCCTCCAAAAGTGTGCAATATGAAGAGGTTCACTAAAATAACCAGTCAGGAATTTTCAATGGATGAATGTTTCTTACAGAAGAGACTTTATGCCAGAAGATGCTGTCCATGCTGTTGATGGACTGCAGAGGCCAACACACGCTAAGGACGACACACGCTAAGGACGACACACGCTAAGGACAACGCACGCAGTGCAATAAACTCTTACTGTGCCATTCAAATGACGTCACGTCAACACTGGTTGTGGTTTCACCAGTAATAAAATGGAATCCCACTGTTAAAAGAAAAGTACTAAGACTTTAAATTATTCATTGAAAGTAAATAAACCACAGGAGGAAAAAAACGATGGAACTCAAGTGTCAAAACAAGATTTTGAAAATGTGTTTTAAAATGGCAGCAAACCACTTAACGTGTACGCACAAGTTAATTGAGTTAGACATGACTGTCCTTGTCCCCGTCCTTGTCCTTGCTGTACTAGACTCCAAATGTCTCTAATGGGTCATAAAAGCTCTACTTATGTGCTTCCGCTGCGTCACGGTTCATTCCTCCACGGCCTTATTTCCGCTGCGTCGTCTTTCACAGCGCAACAGCTTCAAGGTCCCGGTGCAAACCGTGTGGGTCTCTCTTCCCAGTCTATCCCTTGTCTGTTTCTTGTCCCGTACCTGTTCCGAATCAATCTTTAAACACAATACAAATCAATATGAAATGTCGTGAAACGTACATCACACAGAAAATCTAAATAACAACATTATAAAAAAATGTATAAAACCCAAACAAAGTAAGTGATTAAAAACTCCATATATTGGGATCAAGTCAATAAAACCTCAGTTTACAAGAATGTCCCACCTTGACACGCATAAACACACACACACGTCCTTCATTAACAGCAAGTGGAAAATCCTATAAAAAGAAAGAAAAGAAATGTCTGACATTTGACCAGCTTCCTCCGTCCTACAGCAGAAGCACTAACACCTAGTAGCTCACTCACTCAAGGCAGACACACTTGGCAGCAGAACCGGCTGCTTTGGTGTCTCGCTGCTGCGCTGAGAGGTCTGTGGATGAGAGTCTTTGCTACCTCTCCACTCTGACGTCTGACAACTGAATCTCCCCCAGAAGAGGAGGGCTGTGCCCGATTCATCAGATTAGAGCATGATGACCATGTTGAGATGCTCAACCTTTGCTGGAGAAGGAGGCTGCACAGGGTCAACGTCAGTCTACTCTGGGAGCTCAGGCTGAGGAAGGCGAGGGCCCACTTGATAACCTGGAGACCATTGCTGGTCTCGGCAGCATGCAGAAGATGTGCCACTGACAGCTTATACTTTTACTGTTCAATGACTACAGAACCCCTTCCTCCCTTGGCGCTGCGAATTGTTCAGGCTGCTGGTGTGGATAACGCAGCGTAATACGATGTGATGTGAAGTTGGCTCTGCGTGTGTCTCTGCAGCCCGGGAGGCAGGCAAGGCAGGAAGGTCTCAGATGTGGAAAGCAGTTTGACCTTGCGCGCACATCACAAAGGCCACATCTTGGGAATTATCTTAATCAAGATCAATGTGGTAGCTACCCTTTTTTTTTGTAACTTGTTTTGCTTGGTTCCCTTATAGATGCTGGACCTGGTTCAGCAGGGCTCTCTTGTTGAATGCTTTTTGATGTTTTCTATTCACCCTAAAAAGGGGGCAGGGAGGCGGCGTGTTGAGACGGCAGAAGCCTGCGAGAGCTTAGTCTTTTTTTACAGTACAGAGAATAAGAACAAAGGCCCACAATGACACAGAGGAAGGAATAACAATGAGTGCCGCAGCGTTGGGTGATTCTAGTGCTGCGCAGGGGCTGTGTGCAGTGTGCTGGTTTGGGATTATTATCAGAGCGAGAGGAGCATATACTGGATATATCATTTCGCTAATTACTGTTCGGTGCTGTAATTACAATGCAGCAGGGACACGTTCGACTCTCAGAACCTTTCTTGTTAGGAATCTCCATGCGGCTTTCGTTGTCAATCACAGACAAAAATCCCAGAAACTCCAGAAAAAGATTTTTTCCTTCTTCCCCAAGTCTATCTTTTGAAGATCGAGTCTGCTCCCCCGGTTCTCTATACAGCTGTCACTCTTCTCTCTCTTCATCTTTTGTCAGCTTTACCTCAACTCACCGACCATGAGATGTCTGGAGAGCAGTATCAAAAAATAAGATAAGCATGTTTGAAACATGAGAATAAGCTTCTGTTCAAAGGACATGAAACCCAAACATCAGAAGAGGTTATTGTCTTTTTAAATGGCAATTATCTCGCTGATTTTGGCTGCAGGATACATTTTATTCATGATCATCAAAGAAGAGGATTCAATCAATATGTAAAGAAAATGCATAGTGTGGTGGGCCACTGCAGTTTTTACAGGATAAATTGTAACCCGTGCAAACAGCATTAATTCCATTCTGAAGAAGCTGTAATGAGGGACGTGAGGCTGCAGACATGTGTCATAACAAAGGCCGAGATGATCTGGATAGAACTGCATATACTGTATGTCACTGCACAAGCACTAAACCATAACTCTCTTTATACCCCCGAATCAAATAAGTGTGGGCATAAATAAACCTGCAGGACCTGCCAAATACTTTTGGGGTTTTTTTCCCAAAGAGGGCAATGTTAACCCCAAAGGCAAAGTGCCATAAATGCATATTATTTTCCAAACCATTACAGACACGCCAACAACTCGATCACATTCAGGTCTGACAAGGGCCCCGGAGTGCACACTGCTTTTTTTAAAGGCATGAATACAACGAGCAGCAACTATATTACCAGCAGATCATGATTCCTTATCTCCAGTCATAGGATTCATGCAGTGAAGGAAAGGTTATGATAAACTATTTAGGTACTAAAATTAGGTTCTCTGTGCAATAGGCTTACTTTACACAAGAAGGAGAAGCTCAGCGATTTGAGGATTACCTCAGAGCCAATCTGCTGCTTTCTCTGCACGGAGGGAGTCTGCTGAGGTTTCAGCACCTTTTAAAGCTGCCCTGCAGATGCCTCAGTTTGCCATCGCAACAGCCTGGCACTACGGAGTACATCCAAAAATACACAGAGAGGATTTTATCTCCCAGATTGCCAGTGAATCACTTTGTATCACCCAGGAAGACGTTGAAGAAACTGAACATCTGGTGGATGAGGTGTAAGCCGAGCCCAACTGCAACGTCACGTCATCTACAAGATAATAAGTTCATCAGTAGTGCTTTATCTTCTTGATCACCTGACTAGGCAGTAAAAAACTGGATGAAGGGATGCATACATTGGTATTGCATGACCAGATCAGACTTGTTGAAATAAACCAAAACAGCTTTCGAACCTGAAGTGAATTAAAGTGTATTAAAATGAATCTACCTTTAAGATCACAATAACTTTTCCATGAAAATTGATCTGCTATGCATGATGCACCATGCAAACCTAAAGCTTCCCTGACTCAGTGTAGTGGTTTGCCTTCCCAAAACAAAACCTTTTGTGCCATCTAGTGACCACCAGACAGATTATGAAAATGGCCTCATAACTAGACGCGACCACTGGAGGGCAGCACTTTTTTGCAAAGTGTAAATTCTTCGAGCATCCTTGAGTGAGAAGCAGCTGGAAATAGATGGGAAATAGGAAATTATCTTTATTCATCAAAAACTGCTAATGAGGTACCCTTGAGCAAGGTACTTAACAGCTAACTGGTGGAGCTGCTCAGTGGGGAAAAGTGGCAGACTGTGGAGCGAGCTGCAAGTCCCGGCTGTGTGGACACCGTCTGCACAGATACAGGACAACAGTGACAATGAGTCATTAAGAACAAGGTGATGATGGATGTAGTGTAAGAAACTGTACACGCTTTTTAAACCTTCTGAATGAACATATGCTGAGGCATTTCATTACTGACTGTTATAAAAGATTCAGAAACCTTGCAGTTTCACTTTATTACATATTTCAAAGTGACAAACAGTATTAACAAAAGTCTTCTTGCGGTCTGACTAGTTTGATGACATACTGTCTTTTTATGGGAAAAGGATGTTTTCACACCGCGACAATCAACATTTTGAAATAAGAACATTATTTTTTAACGTTTCCCTACATAGCGAGGGCCTGTTTATTATTTTTGGCCTTTTAACCCGACACTTTACTTCTCAATAACTCCAATAATGAAAAACTGCAATAATAGCACGTCATAGTCACCGGGGCTCTGAAGACTAACAGTGGTAAATGTGTTCGTCCTGTCAGCTGATGATGTCTGCGGGTAGAATCTCAAGATGATGTCCTGGTGACTTGTGCGAAACAAAAACTTTATTTCCTGGGGTAAAGAACACGATGGTCCGTAACCAACGGAAATTACCGGCACTTGGATGCGCACAAAGCCTCCCGCCCTTGTTTCATGTCCTCTTTCAGCACCGAAGACGACAACCTACGAGTAGCTTGGACGCATAAAACTGTGTATCTTGTCAATTCCGTCTCCATGCTTGAAAGCATTTAATAGATGTCCAGTTTGATTATTTTACATTAGTGTCGAGAAAGGACACACACAAAAGCAGAAACACACATGTAGAACAAAGTCCATACATATTAGAATATCAGTTCTTTCATTATAGAACAAAATAAAATGAACTTTTACTTAAAGCAGTATGTAGCATTTACGGGATTCTCAGAAATCGTATATAATATTAGTATGTATTCTCTTGTGTTTCTAATCACCAGAAAATGAGAATCGTACAGACAGCACCTTTAAAAGTCACCTCAGTCTCCAGACATATCAGGATGCATCACGAACGCCAGAGCGATGAACCTAGATTCAGTTTGTGAACACATCAGAACTAGAGCTAAGCGCAGGTGACCAGGAGGTTCCCGAAGGAGGTGCTGACGGAGGTTCCGGGCCACCACTCGCGCAAACATCACCAACATCGATTTTCACATCTGAGAAGTTTTGCTCCAGTCAGTGTAGTATTCTGTGGAGGTATCTCTCCGAGCTGTTCTCTCCTCCTCTCTTCAGTCCTGAGCCGGTTCTAGCGGGTCTCTCGGAAGTCGCCGAACGGCGCTGGCTCTCAGTTAGTACCGATGTGGCCCCTGCAGCAGTTCCTGTGGAGGTGTGCCGGCGTGTCTCTGGACTGCTGTGTGTTCCTCCTGCTTCAGAATGACTGTCCTCCCCGGGGTCTTTGCCCTGACCGCGTGGCGGGCTCTCGTCGATCCTGAACAACATAAATGTTGTTGAAAAACAAGAATGAACGCCACGGAATTTGAAAAAAAAAATCACTGTGATCTGAATGCATATGAATAAGAAAGCCAGACGAGTAGTTTGGCTACCTGAGGTGATTGAAAGCTCGTAGCCAGTGCGAGCCCAGCACCTCTCTCCCGTTGGCCCTCACTCCTCTCCTGTGACTCCGGCCCCTCAGTCCCTTCAACGCCTGAGCCAGTTCAGTCTCGTCCCCGTGGCCCCAAACCAGCTGGGCCCTCCGCTCCGCATCCTGATCCCCCGCCGCTTGGAATAGCCTCTGGAGCTGCCACAGATTCACGTCGCTGAAAATGTTCGCAGAGCCGGCCTTCCTGCTCCTCCTGTCCGACAGCCGCCACAGCGAGGAGGGGCCCGCCGCCATGGAGGAAGGAGGGGAGGCGGTCCCGGTATCCATCCGGAGAAACGTGGGGAAAAGGTGGCATACGCTGGCTCTACTCTGTGGAGCAGTGGGAATGAGTTTCCACTTATTGTCACGTATTTGCACCGTGAAAGACGCTTTAAAATATACAACAGGGCCCAACATGTGTTAGTACATGAGTGCAGACGGTCACAACAAAGACAAACAAGTCCTTTGCTCGGACTTTTTAATTGTACTTTAAGAAGCAGGGTGGCCGGCTGAGCTTTAAGCCCATTAAACTGCAGATGGGAACTTTTCTTTACTCAAACATGGTTTTAGGAGGGACACTAACAGGTAAGGTATTCGCTGAATGATCAGCAAATCGCTCCGCTTCGCTTGCTACCTTTCTTTCAACAGCAGATTATGCAGTTAAGGCGGATTTGACCTTGAGTTGCAGTAATATAAATAAACCACATACCTTTGTATGTGGTTTATAAGGAGGCCTGTGTGATGTGGTCCTCTTCCTAGAAAGAGGACCACAATGGAAATAAGTGACCTTGGAATTTAGTTACAGTTAGTATGTTTATTATTATGTATTATACATATCTTTCTAAACATGTGAAGTCAATTAAAACCACAACAGTAAGGGAGTAAGTTGACGACAAGTGATTCTACCCATACCTTATAACAATTGTGGAAAAATAGTACAATTTAAAAAACTTAAACATGCGCAGACCTATTTGTTAAATAACTTAGCGGCCACCGTGACTGAACACTATTTCCACAACAAACCCTTTGGTGCACAGACATCGGCCGAGTTTCTTACTAAACCGCAAATAATCTAGGGGGGAAATGAAATCCCCTTCGAATAAAACTGCGTATTCCCGTCGTGGATTATGCGCCGTGTTGGGTTTAATGACGCTGCGGCCATGGAGCAGTAAACAGGAATCCCGTGAGTGTCACGTGAGGCAAACACAACCACGTCGGCTTACCCACAAGATGTCTTCAGCTCCCACAGCACCTCCGCTGCGCTGCTCCTCTCCAGATGATCCTGCCGCAGCACTGCAATGTTTGCCGGTCACTCGGTGTCGCCTGCAGCCAATTTTCTGTCCACGAGCGCAACGGGTCAGTCGCAAATCAATGTCTCCAGTCGGCCAATCGCGGTGCAGAGATCCTATGACCGGGCCTGACTTGGTTGGGGGAGCAGCTTTAGCCTCGACCAATCACAGGTTCGGTGTTTGTGTGGGGGGAGGGGCGGGGCGCTGGACTCCGCCTCCTGGCCACGTAGGGTGTGTTGTCGAAATCCATTGACGTCAATGGCGTTGGCTGGCACAAGAAGTCCACCAATTATGTGACAGGGAAGTAACATGTGGCCACGCGCAGCAGAGACACGCCAAAAGGATGACGTAAAATAATCAGTGATTCTCTGTTATATTTTGTGTGTTTGGTGGAATAAGGAACAACACGATATTATAATGTATATCATTACGATAATTTATACTATACACATCAATGTATTTGCTTTTATACTTAGATGTGTGTGTGTGTCTTTAACTAAAGTAAGTGAACTTAGAGACACAAACATTACTACACGTTGGGACGACGGAGCCTAACAATAATTAGCTATAGGCGTCTCTTTTGCTGCCTCAGCACACATTCACATGTCACACTTCCCTTTCATAAAGCATCTGTTCACTGCGGGTGGACGGGAGGAGAAAGGTCACACTCCCCGGGGGGAAACTACTCCACCTCGGGGAAATGCACGAGCAGAGGAGCCCAGCAGAGGAGGAGCAGGCTTTGAATTACAGGCCGCCCCCTCTCCATCACCAAGCCCCCCCCCCCCCCCCCCCTCCTCCTCCTCCTCCTCCTCCAAACACAGACGTTACATTCAACAGAGGAAACCGCAAAGACGAACATCGAGACGTTTTCATTTCAAACCCGGGTCTGTGGACAGAACCGCGAGCGCGCGATCAGCACTAAACTTCCCACTTTTGGCCCGATCGTCAAACCAAAAAAAACTCGGCTCTTTCACCCCGTCATTTATTTTTGTTCACCCCCCCAGCTGTTTGCAGCTGGACAGAAAGCCCCCCGCCCTGTTCGCTAAAAAGGGACCGACAGTGACCGGAGGAGGAGACAGATGGCCCCGCAACCTCCGCAGCCGCCGCAGGTGAGGCAGAACATCCTCAAGTTCCTCCGGAGCTTCCTGGGAGTCCTCCGGATCCTGCAGATTGCGTTCGGAGCCGGACTTTGGGTCACCATCGCCGCCAACAAATACGAGGGCTCCATCCACTTCGTCCTGTTCGTCGCGGTCCTCTTCTGGCTCCTCACCCTCGCGCTGTTCTTCATCACCCTCCTGGACAAGCAGGACCTCGTCCCGCTGCTGGGAGGCGAGCGCTGGTTGTCCGCCAACCTGGCGCACGACGTGGCCGCCGCCGCGCTCTACCTGCCGGCCATAGGTGTCATGATCCACAAGACGGACCGCAACTCGTACTGCAACCTGGAGCAGTACAAGCACCCGTGCCTGTACAAGGTCTACCTGACGGCCGCCGTGTTCTCCTGCCTGGGCTGCCTGGCGTACCTCTTGTCGGCCATTCATGGAGGGTGCAGGAAGTGTCGGGGGGAGCAGACGGTCGTCTGATGGGACTGAAAGGAAGGAGAGAGTGGGGAGAGGAGGGGTGCTTGGGGGGGGGGGGGGGGTCCACAGCAAGATGAGGAATAGTTAACTTCACTGTTATTTAACTCAACAGCTACTCTAATTGGCAGGTTTGTGTCAGTGCTTTCCACCTCTGGTGGTGGAGAGAAAACCAACCGAGATCACCTGGGCGGCAGATTCCGGCACAGAGGCCTCCATGGAGGGTAGTCTGATGCGGACCTGAGCATAGCAACGCTCTTATTAAGTCCTCCTGCCTCTTGTAGTGATTCAGTGTAATTCTCCCTGATAAAGAAGCATTATAACTTCCCTTTAAGTGCATATTATAGTTGGGTAGTTTAGTCTGTGTTTACAATGCGTCATTAAAGGCCTTGAGGTATTAGTGCCAGTATTACTGAGTGACCGTCAACCCCAAACCCCTCATAGGATATTTAATTTCACATGGAATAGATACCTTTTGTTTAAAAGTATATTTTATAATGTTTTGACATGTTTTTTTCATGACAGCGAAACTATACCTGAAGCATGATGGACTAACACACTTGTTGATCCCTTTTTGACCAAACGCTGCAAACCGTTTCATCAGTGCCTTCTTTCAAATTGCTGTATACTCAACAAGGTTATGATAGCAACAACTCAACACAGTGGGTGTGATTGGTGTTACAATGTATATGCTGAACAAAAATGTATTGTGTATTATGTATTCATTATAAAGCCAAAGAATAAAGAGCAGTACGTAAGCCTGTTTTCCTTGGTTATGAGTGAATATACAGTATATAAATATATTTATTTATTTAGAAGTGTTTGAACAACCTGCTTCTTTTGTTTAAATTTGGGGGAAAGAACCTGATCATTTGAACTGTGCGTTTGCAGGCTTTTTTCAAATGATACACCGACTTAGACGGGCTCGTCACGGACGCCCTCAGAAACCTTTCTGTTACGGATGAAGACCTCGGCCACGTGAAGTCATATACTGGAGATCCGTGTCTGTATGTCTAACAGAAGATGAGTCACTCACACCCTGACAATGTGCTGTACGATAGAGAGAATGGGAGTTTGTGGCATGAGAGTTGTTCTAATTTTGGGAGCAGGGTGTGCGTGTGTGTGTGTGTGTGTGTGTGTGTGTGTGTGTGTGTGTGTGTGTGTGTGTGTGTTTGTGTGTGCTGCAATCTGGGAAGAGGTTTGTTCTTACCGGAACCATCTGTTGGAGGTGGGCTGATGTTCGGCCAATGAAAATGAAACAGGGGAAGATGTCTCTTTTATTTCAGTTAGATGCTGGTTGGTCAGAACAACTGTTTTGTAATTTGTAATGTTCTAATGCATTGTTGTTTATGCATTGAGCATCGCTAGCATGGGATATGAATTGAAGAAGAACAGCACATAAACACACTTTTTTGAGGGAGGAGGGGGGTATTTTATTTGGGTATTCGGTCTGTACTTACAGTGTCCCTGGGGCACCAGCCTTTCTGTGCAATGACCACAACAAAAACGGTTTGTGGGTGTGTGTCGATTGCAAGGTGGCCATACAGAAGTGGAACGGTTGATGTCAACCAGCTGCAGGATATAAATCTAGCACTTCTGAAGGAGAAACACACACAACCCCCCTCCCCTCTTCCCCTTTGAGGCTCCCACAGAATTGTTGTCCTGTCCACATGTCAGCGTTTGTGGAAACACACGGCTCTTTACGACCAAATGGAGACGGCACACGACAGCAGCCTCGTGTGCAGCATTCAACCAAGCATTCAACCCGGTGGGGTTTGATACAGTAACCATGGGGAATCATTTAAGTTTGGGATGTCTCACAACAAGGTATTAGGACATATAGAGCCAGGCGCTTGTGTGGAGTGCCAATTGTGTGATTTTTCTCTTGCAACTTTATGTGCGCTCAGAGGTCAGAGAGGTTATCATGAATACATTTTTGGAACGTTTTTAAAACGTGCAACTTAAGAAGCAGCACTTACCTCCCGACATAGTTGTGTCATGAACACGATGTGAGCGGCAGAAGAGCATTAATTGAGATGGTTGTGAAGGCATGAATGGGCACAGTGTTCCAGGCCTTGCAGTTTTCTAAAGTGGTGACTGGGATTACCGATTCCACATCTGTTACCGCAACCTTTGCCCACACAATACTTGTGAATGGCCACAGTGTTCATGTGCTGAGTCAGGGCAATGGCAGCCAGTGGTGGGGAAATGATGGAAGCTATTTATACTGCCCTGCAAATACCACTGCTTCCTCCACTTTGCCATGTTGTTGAGTCGCCTTCACAGAGGTAAGAAACCAAATTCTCTTTGTTACGTCACATCGCAGTTGAGAGGGAAAAAAAACAATTTAAAAGTGTTTTTCCCCTAATTTATTCTGCTAATTAAATTATGAAAATATGTCTAAGGCCTTAAAACACCTGGTTACTTGATAGATTTGACTATTTACAATTTCATTCTATGCTGAGCTTAATCTTTGTTTCTGTCATTTGCCACTTAAACACATTCTGATAATTCTTTGTGTTCTTTACAATCTGTCATGAGTCTGTGCAACAGACAGAACGTTAAGTTAAATATGTTCCTTCACTAGTTGTTCACCACAGTAATAATATCAAAAGATTCATAATTACAAACTGTACCGTTCTCTTATGACTTCTTAAAGCATCTCAAACATAATTTGCTCCAGGAGACGGTAATTTTCATTGTCACCTGGCCTCCATTTACCAAATGAACTGTTCAAACATGAAGCTGATGCTGAGTGTCTTTTAGAAGCAGAAATTCACCTTCACAATCACTAATGCCTATAGGCCAAAACAAATCTTTTTTTAGCTATACAATAGGCCAATGTTTCAGATAAAGACTTGTTAGTGATAAATCGATGCAGACGTTCATTGTCTGAGCAAAGCTCTAATTCTATTTCCACGTGAGAAAATAGTTACTGTGAAATAACTTGAACAAGATTTGGTCATGACGTTCGATCCTTCATCCCAGACATGCTGCGAATACAAACACTCAAATGATTATGATAGATTGTGACATCAGAAGGACTGGAATTCACAAGTGGATGAGACTTTTTTTTCAGAGGCACTAGTAGATTTGCTGTTGGTTTTTTCCATTTTCCATATACATCTGTACCCTTCATAGTTAGCGACAAAACCTAGTCTAGTTTGTGAGGGTCTGGTTGAAAGCTCCAGAAAAGTCTAGTAAGTGGATTTGAGTTGGGGTAGTTTTGTGGACTCACTCTTTGAATTAACTCGAAGTAATACTGAAAATTGAAGAATTAAGTGAATTGCTCTATAATGTGTTTTTCATTGAGCTCACAAATGCATGTGACTAAACTGTCCAGTGCAGAACATATTAAGTGGGTTGCACATTTAAAATGAATAATTTTATTTTTTGGGGCGAAACATTTGACATTTGATATTTGTTTGGCCTGGGAGGAAGAAAAAACGGAAATGCTGACTCCATACAGTCAGTGGTTAACTATCATGAGATAACTGGGGACAGAGGGTGAATCTCTAAAAACGACTTGACTGCTGCACATTTGTGTCTGTAGTGTTCTGAGCTTATGATTTCTGGGTTCTAAAAACAGCAGTATAATGTTTTACAGGCCAAGGCCTCCCCCTTCAGATGAAAAGGATGAAATGCAACAGTTAGTTCAGCTGGTCTTTAAAATACCATAGCAGCGTAGATTGTTTTACCTTTAATGTAAATCTAGGTCCAAATACCCCATTGAGAGGCCAATATGTAATGAAAACGAGTCCCATTATAGATAGATAGAAATGTTGCTATATTAATAGATAGGTGAACCCATGTAGTGTTATAGAGAGGAACACTGAAAAGTCAATAAGGTGCAGCGTACAGAATGAAGGTCAGGGAACAGCCCCCTCCCCCCGCTGACGTTCCCCGCTGTCATTGGTCAAACCTTAAACGACGTCTACCACAGCGGAATCTCATTGGTTGTGAAAACCCGGAAGTGGGGGAGAAACCAATCTAACGGATAAAAGTAAGGTCCCCACCGGTCTGACAGCAAACGAGTGGACCCGTCTTCTTCCCCTGAGTGGAGAGTTGTTCACTTACGGCAGCCATTCTTAAACGTTCTATCTTTGAGGCGCATTATAATCCATCATGGCTGCCTACAAGCTAGTGTTGATCCGCCACGGAGAGAGCAACTGGAACCAGGAGAATCGGTTCTGCGGCTGGTTCGATGCGGATTTGAGTGAAACCGGGGAGAAGGAGGCGAAGCGAGGTGGACAGGCTCTGAAAGGTGAGGAACAACTAATTCAATTCGGTCCCGTCATCATCGTGATTATCATCATCATGTCTCTGTACTGTCTCTTAAAGTCTGTATTGTACTCAAAGGCTCCTGTTGCATAATGGCCTTTGCATCAGACCCGACACATCCTCCCCCCATGAAACGTGTCAGGAAAACATAATGTGCAGAAGTGATCCTTTCACCAAGCTGCTCCGATAAAGGGCTATTTTCCCAGGTCCAAAGACCACAGAGGGAGTGTGGAATTTTTCCAAAAGAAATGATACAGAATTGCTTACTTATTTCCTTAACGTTAAATGAACAACATGCAGCTGTGTTGCCCTTTTTTCAGCAAGAGAACATCACAGAGGAGACACCCAGAGTATTGTCATAGCTAACGTTATGTTAGTAAGATAATGCAATTTGATGTAACATCAAGGTTTAAAGAAGCCGTCACAATTTCCAAACGGAAACCGATGCATAAACTTCAGTGTCTCTCGCTCTCTCACCCTCTGCAGATGCCAACTTTGAGTTCGACATTTGCTACACCTCCGTGCTGAAGCGGGCCACCAGGACACTGTGGCTGGTCCTGGACAGCATTGACCAGATGTGGGTGCCAGTGCACCGGACCTGGCGGCTTAATGAGCGCCACTACGGAGGCCTGACTGGGCTGAACAAGGCAGAGACGGCAGCCAAGCACGGCGAGGCTCAGGTGAAGATCTGGAGGCGCTCCTTCGATACCCCACCTCCTCCCATGGGCCCAGAGCACGACTACTACAGTATCATCAGCAAGGTAAGATGTGATATCTCCAACACGTGCACACAACCAAAGCTCTGTTTGCCTCTGAGGAAATAACTGGGATTGCACATATTGACCAAACTATCTGCACAAAGAAGAGGCCTGACTTGAGCTGATCTCTGCTTCCTGGTCTTTATAACCAACTGTGTCCCCATGAATGAATGAAATCAGCAGAAACCACCCTAGTGTTTGAAGAAGAACTAGTAGATATAAGGTTTTTTTTTTTTTTTTTTGTCCACAGCACAGTCCAATTGAAAATGGTTTACACGTACAGTAGTACACAAGACATAGTACACAGTGGAGATAGATACAGTCCCTAATCTTCTGGGAGCATGTGCCCTGATCTTGTTACTCAATAGTTTGTAGTTGGTGGGTAAATATATGACTGCTAGGTGCAAGTTCAAAGTTCGGTTACGGTTAGAACAAGGAGTTAAGGTGCAGTAGCCCTAAGCTGGCTGCTGGTGGCTGTTGAAACTTCATCAGCAACAAGAAACGTGTCAAAGCTGATTCTTTCCTCCCTGCAAATGACAGTGAACACATCACTAATATTGTGTGAAGAATAATACTCTTAATGAATTTAGGCTTCCAAATAACTGGACAATGAATCTTGATGGAAAAGAAAAAGTGATCCTGTATCTTAGTCTATTATACATTTTGCAAACTGAGCTCATGCACCCTTCAGGATCGCCGCTATGCAGACCTGACTGAGGACCAGCTTCCATCCTGCGAAAGCCTGAAGGACACCATCGCGCGGGCGCTGCCCTTCTGGAACGAGGAGATCGCCCCTCAGATCAAAAAGGGAAAGCGGGTGCTCATCGCTGCCCATGGAAACAGTCTGAGGGGGATTGTCAAGCACCTGGAGGGTGAGTGGCGTTAGTAGTTTTTTCATGCAAACAAATAAGGAAATTGATACTCAAATTTGATTATCCTATAGTATGTTGTCAATAGTATCAAGGAATAGTTTCTAAGCACATTTCTAACAGAAAAAACCTTACAACCTGCGAGTTCACTAACCTCCGAGCGGTTCTGTTTGTGCTGTCCCCTGTAGGCATGTCCGATGAAGCCATCATGGAGCTGAACCTGCCGACGGGCATCCCCATCCTCTACGAGCTGGACAAGAACCTGAAGCCTGTCAAGCCGATGCAGTTCCTGGGAGATGAGGAGACCGTACGTAAAGCCATGGAGGCTGTGGCTGCTCAGGGAAAGGCCAAGAAGTAATTGGCACAGAAAAAGCCCTCTTTGTGTACGACCGAGTAGGTTTTGCCCCAACGACTGACCCCAGTTTAGTGTTTTTGTTTAATCCTAACCTGGATTGTAATACACAATGAGTACACTGTAGTCGACGGCAACCTCACTCTTCTTGTACAGTGCGGGGATAGTAGATGGTGAATTATAAAGATATATATATATATATAAGTGTCACTGCTCTCAAGACGTATTGGGGTTTTTTGGGGGGGGGGGGGGGGGGTTTGTTGCTCTTTGCTAAAAAGACCCATTGATAAGACAACCTTTTTTTAAATTCAGAGTTTGTTTATTGTTTTTACACACGGTTGTGCAACAAATTGCACTTGGTAGTCCCATTTTGCTACATGATAAATAGATTAATAAAAAAAACCATCATACTTTTTTTTCTTTCTTTTTTTCCCCCCAATATTGCTGATTATGTATCTGTCACAAATGCAGTAAGTTTATTGGAGCTGGCGGCCGCCACTTTTACATGCACCATTGAAGCTGTAAGTCTGCTCATGTACTGTGTCTTTAAGAGTGGAGAAGGTTCACTAGAGTCCACTGGAATGGATAGCCTTGCTGATAAAGGTAGTTGCTTTAACTGGATGTAATGATGAGATACTGTTTTTCAGATGCACTGATGGTTGTGAAGAGTTATACCCATGTGTGTCAGATCATACAATCTTTTTTTTATTTTTATTTTTTACTCATCAGATATTGTATTATAATTTAATTTAAAGAGGACTTTGTGGGACCTCTTTTTTATTTAAGGGACCACTGCGAAAGAGGGAACACTTAATTTCTATAAAAGGCTTTGAAGCAAGTCATTGGTGCATTCTATTGATTAAAAGTTTCCAATCTCTTGAGAGCCAAATGGGACGGTAAGAACAACTAAACAATCCTTTCCTCTCCTTATCTCTGTATATGGTATTTGTGCTGTGTTCTTGCCGTCTTTTCCTTTTTTCTGTTTGATCAAGTTAGGTCCAATATAAATGGTGCCAAACATTGCATTATTACCAGCATTGCAACGTATAGGCGCTAAAGCCTTTATTTGAATTATAGCATTTCCAGTTTCAATGTTCCATAGTTCCATTGTGAGTCATTTATAACAGAAGATTTCTAAATTCAAACATTATTTTTGTTACTCTGTTTTGCTGCAGTTGGCCTGTCTTCGCGTCTTGGTGTCCTAGTGATTATGTGTCTGCAGCTCTTATGCCTAAAGCTTCCCTCACTGCCTAGAGGTTTTAAGAGAAGGTTTCAGTTTGAAATCACCCTTTATGTAACACAGTATTTTCTTGTTTATTGACAAATAACTCTTTGTTGGTTGTATGTATCTAATGGTAATACATTTAAAAATCAAATGCTGATGTGTCTCAATGTCTAGCCAGGTATAAATACTTTTTTACGGAGCGAGCACCAACATAGTAGGAGCGGAGGAGCTATTATGTAAATTATCATTATGTGTCTTTCTTCGCAATAACAAGGTGCTTAGAATACTAGCGAGGTGGAATTTGACATTAAACTAGTTTTGCCGTGGCAACCGATCTTTCACCATGGGCATCGAAGCGGCTTTTGAGGGTCAAGAAATGCTGGAATTGTAACCAAACTTTGTACAATATGCAGCTGTCTGATATGATTTTAATTTGACAAGTCGATTATGTTATGAATGCAGTAGCGTATTCACACACACTTATTTTTGCCGGCTTACATTGGTGATTATATTCAAAGACATACTAAAAACATTTAAGGCTTAAGACCTGACAAAATGACCTACTCTCCTGGTAATCTTCTGCGAGCAGCTTCTAATGGTCATAGAAATACATGGCCGTGTCAACCAGAATCTGGTTAGTAACCTTAAAAAACGTTCGACCTGATATCTTTTTACTTTTTTCCGTGACATTTTCTGACCTAATATATTTTGACTTTAGTCTAAATGTATTTGTTGTCTAAAAATGAACCAGTATTTGGGCCCAATTCCACTCTACATCATGGTAATATTAAAATTGTGAAAAAAGCCCACAAAAGCACCATAAAATGAAAAACTTGAGAAATGTTATATATATATATATAGTTAGCAACCTTAAAAAAAAAATATATATATATATTATACACACACCTCACATAGGGAAGGATAACGATAATGACTTCATTCATATTATTTTGACACTGCTGTGACAGCCAAAGTAAGGCAATAACAAGAAAGCTCAACAGTGAGGCCCAAGAAACCACTACATCTATAAGTGAAAGTTAAAACCAGATTACAATAGATGACATTCCTCTGGTCAGTGGAAGTGAGTAAACACTGCGAATCATCTATATCTATGCCAATATCCGAAGCATTTTCCTCAAGAATATCTGTACTAATATTTGGTGGGAAGTTAAGCATTTTTTTAATTGAAATGGTGCTGGACTCCATCTCCCATGATGCACTCCGCTCAACGTTGGTCGATTTGCCTGTAGGCGGGAGACGTTAATATTCCCGAGATGATTTTAACATTGTGAGCTTGTTATTGTCGCTGTCTGTGGTTGAAGGCAGTCGGACTACACCTCAAAATGAGAAGAGCAACCGAAAATCAAAGAAACACCCTGTAAGAAAATTGACGGACTTTGTTCATACTTTGAGTCTAAGTTGGGAGCACGTTAGCCAGCTAACGCTAACGTTAGCTAAACAGATCACTTCCTCAAACACCGTATTGCTAATATTCATTGTTATTTTGCTAGCCAGGCACTGCGTGTAACGTGCGTGTTCATGTTTACTTTGAAAGCGAACCAAACATTATTTAAAGACCTATCGGTAACTGTCATGCGGCTAAGCTTAACACCATGTAAACACGCTCTTCATGTCAGTCACCTTTGCTAGCTTTAGCGAATGGTTAGTGTTTGTAGCATAAGCACGAGCGCACTAACATAATGTTTCGTGTTACTTCGTGGACATTTGTTTATGATTGAGAAATTCAAGCAGGTGACATTACTGTTGATCACGCTGTCACGGTAAGGCAAGGCTGGTTAAATTAGCCCCCCTTAACGCGCATGTGATCGGAAGGAACCGACTAGAAGGCGTCTTCTCGTAGTGGCTGTGACGGTGTCGTTTCAGCACTTATTATTCTTTTTATTTGAAAACGGCACTGCTAAATTGCATTGTTGTCGCCATGGTGACGAGACTAACTTTTATGTGTACGTGATCAGTTGCCTTTCTCTGGCTTTCTTGCAGAACACTTTCCCCCCGAGTAATACATGTCGGTCGACAACCACCCACAGTGCCCCGTCAAGTGGTGCTGTCTCGTAAAATAGTGTAACGTTTTAAGCAATATTTATTTAAATGTACACCGCGACGCAATTTGTTTCACTTGTTTCATGTTGCACTTCGTAACCGACTTAACTATAAGTTATGGATGCATTTTTTCGTTGTAACGCTAATTGTTGTAATGACGTAATTTCCATTATCAATGTTGCAAGACAACGTGTTGCTACAAGACACTCGATTCAGTCTAGTTGCTGATCGTGTCGCAACGTAACGTATCTGTAGACTCTAGTAGAGCTTTGTCGGTGGAAGTTTGTTTGATGAATTTTCAAATGAATAAGTAATAACTATCTGTATCTTCAGAGCCTTTTCTCCCCACAGTAAAAGAGAAAAATCCTATTGTTGTTTTTAGTTGATTTATTGACATACATTGTTACACTTGCTGCAACTTCATTTGGTGGCAATTAACAATAACAATATTCAATTGAATGCCTCTTTGATGTTTAAAACGAAAAATAGAAAGCAGACATCTTATTTCGGTGCGCCATCACTGTGGAGACAACAAGGTGTAGCTCTCTGGAAGACCGGTTCTTTGTTCATTACCTTCATCTCGGAGCCGATTCCAAACCTATTGAATTATGCACAAGCACGTAATAGTCGTGACAGCTTGTAGTGGAAAGGATGCTAAAATAATGCAACGAGAAGAACCCACTTGTGTCTGGCAGCGTGACAAAGAAAATATAGTCCAACCGATGGAGGAGGCACAGCGAGATCTTGGGCCTTCGCTGTCTGACAAACGCTTACATGTCAGCCTGTTCACACTGTAGCATTTTGAGGCACCAAATATTTTAGGAGACGTAAGATTGTAATTCAAAAGCGTTTTTCTTTTGTTTTAGGGAAGGACCTTGTATTCCAGCAGCGCTCCCGAATCATCATTATTCCAGGAGACTCCAATGAAACCCTCTGAGCACCTCAACGGGCTTCCTCGCCCACCTCCCAGGACAATGTTGCCACTTCATAGCCCTGAGGTGTGGGACAGACTAAATCCACCACAGCACCCTCTTCCACCACGGCACCCTCTACCACCACAGCACCCTCTTTCAACACGGCACCTTCTTCCACCTACGGGACCGACCTATTCTCCAGGGTTTGTCCCAAGCAGCCCGTCTCACATTGGCTCCCCAGTGAATCGGTCCCACCCTCTGGCAGGGTGCAGATTCGCCCCTCTGCAGAACCAACACCATCAACAACCTCCGCCGTCTTTCTGCTCATCGAGGTCTGATCCAGTCAGCGCAACTAACAGTGGTACTACAGCGTTTCCTCACTTCATGAAGGATTTAAGTAACCACTTCCTGTCGTCCCATATCAGGAGAGAGCAAGGGACTGAATCCAAGGTCACTTTGTCAAACTCGGGAAGTAAAAATGTAACGCCACAAAGGCACGCGTCGAGCAAGGTATTTTCTTTTACGTTCGTGAAAACAAGATTTGTTGAAACACTCGTTTATGACTTGTACTGCAGAATTAGTGTTCAAGTGATTGTGAATGGTTGTGTCTTCTAACATTTACTTGGATAGGATCAATCCAGTGATGTGAGGAGTTCCATAGGTACAGTCGAGCTCCACAGGCCCCCTATGAGCCCGTCATTTTACATCAGAGGTATTCAAGGAGTTCACCCGTGGCCCACCTCGGACTCAGAGCATCGGGCCCACTGGTCCTCTTCGGGCTACCAGCCTTCTCCCAGTACCCAGTCGTCTTACAGAAGTAGTGGTTCCAGTTTACCTGTTATGCACAATCTTTTGTCCCCTGGCCAGGTAAAAAACTGTTTTCGATACTACTTAACTTTCGTAACAGATTTTGAGCAGTTCATCCTCCAGTTTCAAGGCAGGGTTGTAGGGTTGTGCCAAAATGAAGTTCACTTGGGGGGGAGCATGATGTGTTTTGCCTCAGTTTGATTTTTGAAACAAAAATTCAGGTAATATGGCTTTGATAAGTGGATGAAAAATTCTGTCATTTTACTAATATGCATTTAACTGATTGTCTATTATAAACTTGACAGTATTAAGATTGACCATCTGGACATCTGGATATTTTTTAATTATTCAACATCCGGCCCAGCTTGTTCTGGAATTGCTGTCTTTTACTTAAGAAAACCGCTTAGAGAGTCACTATTTTTCCCTTATTTTTATTTTGTTTTTTTAGGAGCAACATAAACAAACACCTTCGAGTGAAAACAGAATTCCAGGTAATGTTAAAGTTTTCCAATTTTTCTTAGCTGTGATATTTGGCATTGTTTTGGACTTTACTTTACCATTTTTAACAACAGTCCTCCATAACGCAAATGAATACAGGCACATGGAAGAAATGAAATCATAGATAATATCAACCGTCATCTTCCATGATGGTCCTCTCTCCTTATTATATATAGATCTTTTTCCTGCTATTGATAAGAATTACTTACTACACTCTGTTACTTGTAGGCTTTACAAGCCGCTTTATAGCTGGAAACACAAATGTGACCTTAAACTCTTTGCTAGTTACAGAAGAAGCGGTTACTTTTACATGCCACATTTAGACAACATTATTTTTGTTAATTAATCATTTTGATGTATTTCCTCTTTCCAGTTGTGGATTTGAATTGCACATCTCAGAAGAGGCACAGAGATTTTCAAGACCTTGTCGACAGTCCCAAGAAACTCTGTCTTTCGGCTGTGAACTCTGACCAAGCGCAGACACCAAAGCCAACTGTGGGCCGCTCACTGAGCGCAATGCTGACTCCGCCCTCAAAGACGCATTCATTAGCCTTGGAACGGTCCCCCAAAACCCCAAATCGCCTTCTTTGCACACAACCATCCTCTGGCCAATCACCGTGCTTGGAGCTGTCGTCCACAACTAAACCCGCGCAGTCATCATGGGCATCCACGTCACTCAAACCTTGCATAAAGAAACCGTCAATGATTGGAGCAATGCAAGTCTACTTAAAGGGCACCCAGGATGACATCTTGAAGTTGAGATCACCTTCAAAAAGTCTGGATGAAGAAAGTTTGAAGCAGTCGGTTCCCCTGGAGGACACAGGTGGCTCCCCTCAGCCAGGCAGCCACCAGTCCCTTCACACTCACGGCAGTACCTCGGGAATACTAGTCAACGCCGGGAGCAGAGACGATCACACAGAGGAGAGCAGGAAACCGGACAGCAGCACTCCCAAACATTGCTCCAAAACAAGTACGGTGGAGCGAAATAAAACGGCTCGACCACGAAGGCCTGTTGCGATCCCGGACGATATAGATGAGCTTTTCACTCCTGATCCTTTGACATATGTTGTCAGCTCTGCCCACAAGACCCCAAAGCCCAAGATGGCCGGGATCAAATCTCCCGCCTCGGAGAACAGCTGTTCGTCCAGCCCTTTGACTAATGGATCCTCCTGTCGAAAGACGAGTTCACACGCGACGGACGCCAAAGTCTCATCCCCGCCGTCGTCTCATCAGGCAAAAGTCCCCGTGCCGACTGTGGCTTTAGAGCGGGTACAACTTGAACACTTGAAATACGCTTTCCGAAATGACTCAAAAAACAGCCCCCTCACTTCTTCGGTTAACAAGCCAAAGGATGATGGTCTAAAATCGAACGACAAGCCCACACCTCTCCCCCCGAACCAGGGGAGTCACGGCGAGTTAGAGACAGGCCCCGCAACCTCCACGCCTCACTGCTCTCGTCCTCTACCGCCGGAGAGGCGAGCAAGTGATGGGCGCAGGAGGCCGGCGAGCGAAGAAGATCCCATTGATCTGGACCTGGACTTGGGCCTAAGCTTTGCGGTGGATATGGATCTAACCCAGAGCTCCCAAAGCAGTGAGGAGGAGCAGCTTCTCTCCCTGCAGGAGATGATGGAGCGCGTCAGCAAGCCTCCAGCCACGCCAGCAAAGCTGGCTTTCTCCGAGCCGGGCACACCCGGAAATCACAGCTGCCCGTCGAGCACCGTAAGCTCCAAATTATTACATTACATTAGATGTCATTTAGCTGACGCTTTTATCCAAAGCGACTTTCAATAAGTGCATTTCAACCATAAGGATACAAACCCAGAATAACAAGAAACAAGAAAGTGCAATTTCATCAAATGAGCTCAGAAATCGCTTGTCGTTGTCGAAACACAGTCACAAAGGTATGATCGTCATTAAGTGTTGTCGGCCGTGTTTCCCACAGCAGCTGTTGGCAGCCACTAAGTTGGGCATCTACAAGAACAACCTCGACCAGATGCTGGAGGAAATCAACACCAATAAAAGGTAAATGCTGCAGAAAATGTCATTTCCATTTCCCATAACCTTTTTGTATTTTTATTTGAGCTACGGCAACTGCACGGTTAACTTTCTCCACATGGTTTTCATCCATTAGAGCTAAAGAGATTGAGTCACAACTTCTAACTGCGTGTAAAGAGGACCTGCTGAGGATAGCTGAATATGAGGAGGCGGAGGAGAACCGGGAGGAGGGCGTCTCCACCGAACAACAGTAAGCCATGCAGGAGCACACAGACTCTTCTAAACCACGTCACCGCCGTGCGGTGCTTTATTAACCTGCAGTATGTTATCTGTAGGGAATTCCTGCAACGCTACTCTTTGATGTCCAACGCTATCAGAGAAGTGCCTCCGGGAGAAGTGGTGTTCAACCTGGAGAGATTTGGCCAGATCTTTGACCATGAGACGCTGCAGCTCAGACGGTGCATGGTCAACCCGCAGGGCACGGCGCAGAAAACGCTTCTTTGGTGAGTTGTGTGTGGATATGCACACTACGGTTCAGAGCGACGGTGCACTAGCTGAAGCCTGATCGCAAGGAAATTTGATATTTGTAGTCACTGTTGCCCGGATCCTGCCTTCCTTTTTGCACAAACCATCAGGGCAATATGTGACCTTAAGACTAATTGTAATCTACATTTGATCGCACATTAGTGCTCAGTGTTGAACCCTCGTGATTTAAATGGGTATTTCTTTGACCTTTCTTTCACCTTCGTTCTGCTAATTGTTATTTCCTCTAATCTTTCCTTCTCCACATATGACACTACAGGTCCAGTCCTGCCCAACTCAGGTTGCATCTAAATATTGGATTGTTCCAGGAAGCTTATAATTGTCGTTCGCCCTGTCCAACTCAGGTTACCCGTTTCCTGTTCAAGGTAGGCCCCTCACACACATGTAGCAGGTCAGTTGTGACTGTGCAGATGTCTGAGCCTTGGTAGTAATTCTTTTTGTTCCGGTCAGATGATGTCAGTCCATAGTGAGAGGCTGGTATGTGAAAAGATACTCCAGGCTCTGTGTGACATCGCCCGCACTGCTGCTTATCAGATAGGTCAGCCTTTTTTCCCGCTATTTCTTATTTATTTTTGTATTATTACTATTGGTACTTGCTGACCTGTTTTTTTCCTTGTCTACGCTTCTGCAGTGAAAAATGAAAGCCAGCAGTTTAAGGTGTGGGTGCCCAGTTTGGCCGATGTGGCGCTGGTTCTGTTGAATATGGGAGTTTCGTTCGTTACTCTTTTCCCTTTTGAGAATCTGCAGCCTCCCTTCACCGAGGGAGATCTGCTGTAAGTTACAGCCTTGCTCTTGAAATGACTCATGCGTGTCCTTGTTTTCTAATCAAGTTGTTTATTTGATGTTGTTGTTTTTTTGCGTAGTGAGGACATTCATATCAAAAGTGAAAGTCCCTCCAGCAAGGAGGAACCAAAAGCGTTCCCTGAACACAACTGCAACAACATCTTGAAGGTGAGACGGAGTAAAACGCTAGGAACAGTTTGCCAGCGACTGCACAGCCTCTCCATTCAGTCGTTCACTTCCTGTTTGTTGTTTTCGTTGTTCTCAGTACCTGTCTTACTGCATGGGCCTTTGTCCACGAGTGTACAGCGACGACGAGCTGCTGCTGCTGCTGACCGTGGTGGCGAAGGTGGGCCTGGACTCGCGCCTCCTCCTCACGTCCAGCACCGAGCTGTACCCTCTCCAGTACAAAATCGTCAACAACGTGAGGGACTGGGACACAATGGTCAGTGACAATGGAAGTTCACAGTGGTGCCACTGTAATGCTGAGCATCAGACTAAACTGTTTGAATGTGTACAGCAAAATGTTTGATGCTTGTTTTGGAGTTGTTGATTTTTTGGCAGGGAGTTTATAAAATTATTTTTGCTTGATTTGTATTGATATGTATTTTCATATAATTACGGAATTCACAGTCTGGCCATGAATATGACTTCAAAGGATTGTGAAATATTTTAAATCTACTGGCCCTTGTTCAAATTGATTTATTATATGATCAAAGAATTTCTTATTAAATTAGTTATCTCATATTTCTTTTAAATGTTCTCAGCTGCCTCGAATCTGCATGGACCTTACCGATCTGACGGATGACCACCACAACATGTGCCTGCTAGTTCAGCTGCTTCCTGACAACACGCGTGGGAAGTAAGTCTTTTCCCTCTCTTTTGTTGTCTACTCTCCATATTCCACCCACAAGCTGTCTTTTCTTTTATCGTATTGTACGTTAAAAAGAATTAACATTGGTTCCTGTAGACAACTGCGTCGACATCTGAGCCTGTCCATGATCTCGAAGCTGTTGAACGGAACATGCACCTACAGGCCGAGAGAAAAGGAGTTTGAGGTAATCTCTTTCAGCGTGTAACCCTAACCTATACAATTGTATTTTTAGATATCTGCTCTCTGTTGTTATTTATTCCAATGTGTTTCTCTTGCGCTGCCATGCGTAGCTCTCCGATCTGAGGCCCTATCTGCCCCGGATGCAGCCCTCCGCGCTACTCCGAAGCATGCTGAGTCAGAGAAATAAAGGAGAGGACGTAGCCACCCTCGACCAACAGGTGAGCGTGGGCCTTCATCTTCATGTCACGTTTTGCATGTCTAGTTTTTAAATTTCTTTTAAATGTGTAAGTAAAGAGTGATAATTCAATGACTGGGCATTTTCTTCCCATTGGCTCTGCCTCAGTCCTACTACCTCTGCTATAGCCTTCTGACTTTGGCAAATGAAGCGTCAAACTACCAGTTCTTCCCGGCTAATCAAAAGGTAGGACTTGAAATGCATCCCCCTTTCTGGTCTCAAGTTCTGTCCATGTGTGAAGATGGCGATATCGATCTGCTTTGCGAGAGGCGTGTTCACGTGCGTTTCCCTTTTCTTTTGACTCAGACACAGCTGCTGTCCATGTGCTCCGAGCTGGAAACGCACGTTAAGTGCGACATCAGAGAGAGTGAGAAATGTCTTTATCGGAGCAAGGTGAGTTTGATTGTGATCTGGATCCAGATGTACGACAACATTTAAAAGGCTCTTCAGCGCTTTTTGAATGCCTTGAAGTTCAATTTTGTTACTATCGCAAAGGAAGTTTGGTTTGCAGTCAGATGAGAGGAAGTGTGGTCATTGTGGCTTCTTCTGAATTTGCATAAAAGATGAAGAGCAATCCGGCCAAACCGACATGGCGGTTCCCCCATCGACACTGACTTCATCCAGTCAGTTAGATTTACAATTATTTAGCAATTCGAACACAGTAACTGGCTGGGCGGTGTTGGACGCCTCGGGAACAGTCGGTGAATTTGAGCGCTGTTGTCGGCGGTTCATCAGTATACGAGGGAGCCTCAGCGCCTTTTTGTACCTACCGGGTAAACAAGATCGAGACGCGCCACTTGCCCCAGTATCTTTTGTTTGACCTGTTTGTTCAACTTTACAAATACCAACTATTCCCAGGTCCTATGGTTAATAACCGGCCCAATACCACATTGAGGTCAGTGACTGCAGTATCCCTGAAAAGCAAACTCTTCAATCCGCCTTATCACAGAAATCATCATTGGTAAATCAAAAGTAAAATCAGTTTGACTTAATGAGAGGCTGCTCAAGGCGGCGGCATGCAATGGCGCGTGCAACAGAGGCTCCTGCGTTGCACACGCCATTAGGTTCATGTTGCTCAATCCAGACTTGTGGCTCTTATGTTGGAGTTTGGCGCACTTGGTCCTTGTTGCAAACGTCTTACTGCAGACAGCCGAAGCCTCTTTGTCCCCTTCTGCAGAAAACGTTTTAACTCCTTGAAGACCCCGAGGCTCAGTGTTTGTTAAAAGGAAGGAATCAGACAAAAAGCAGCGTTGGTATTTACCGCCAAATGTAGCTAATTAATGCTTTTAGATAAGCAGTCTAGTTACAGCTGAAGGGGGAGGGCTATCTGATACAGGCAGTAGTTGTTAGACCTTATGGTCACTTAGTTAAGAATATTGCATTTAAGTTTTATTCCCAAGAATTAAAACACGAAAATCATTCAATCAATTGTACTTTTAAAATGTAGTATTTTAAAACAAAATACTGTGGTATTTTACTGTGGCCCCAAAAGGGCATCTTTAGACTGCTAACAAAACAAAACCAACCAATATCCTCACTGTGGGAGTTGGGCTTCTTCTATATGATCATGGTGGATCATAACATAATCAATCACTGCTGACTTGGTTTCAAGGTGCGATCATTTAACCCAACCCTTACAACCAGCATGCTGTGGGTGCTCTCTCCAAGCAGTGTGTTTGACTACGTCTTCCCCGATCCAGGTGAAGGACCTCGTGGCCAGGATCTACACCAAGTGGCAGATGCTCCTTCAGAGGACCAGGCCTCTCCATGTACAGTAGTCCTACACATACTCTTGTCCTGAAAGTTTTATGTGCACCAGGTTTTCCTCTGACAGATAGATGCAGTTTAAGAGTCATCACCCTGATTCTGTTTTCCTCCTGTAGGGCCAGTTGTATGATTATTGGCAGCCTTTGCCCGTTGACACATTGATGAGCAGCCAAGAGGAGCACGAGATGGACAGCGATGATGGAGAGGGGCCAGGGTCCGAGGACGATGAAGAAGAGAGATCCAATGATGGCAAACAGATTTTGATAACTGACGAGGACGAGGAAGAAGATGACACAATGGATGACACAAATGAGACAGAGAACTACAAGACTGCAGAAGAAATGTTGGGAGACGATACAAAGGAGGAAACAAATGAGCCCGGGGACGACAAGACTGCAGAAGAAATGTTGGGAGACGATACAAAGGAGGAAACAAATGAGCCCGGGGACGACAAGACTGCAGAAGAAATGTTGGGAGACGATACAAAGGAGCCCGGGGACGACATGACTGCAGAAAAAATGTTGGGAGACGATACAAAGAAGCCCGCGGACGACATGACTGCAGAAGAAATGTTGGGAGACAATACAAAGGGACCCGGGGACGACGAGACTGCAGAAGAAATGTTGGGAGACAATACAAAGGAGGAAACAAATGAGCCCGAGGACGACATGACGGCAGAAGAAATGTTGGGAGACGATACAAAGGGGCCCGGGGACGACATGACTGTAAAAGAAATGATCGGAGACGATACAAAGGGGCCCGGGGACGACATGACTGCAGAAGAAATGTTGGGAGACGATACAAAGGGACCCGGGGACGACATGACGGCAGAAGAAATGTTGGGAGACGATACAAAGGGGCCCGGGGACGACATGACTGCAGAAGAAATGTTGGGAGACGATACAAATGAACCCGGGGACGGCATGACGGCAGAAGAAATGTTGGGAGACGATACAAAGGGACCCGGGGACGACATGACGGCAGAAGCAATGTTGGGAGACGATACAAAGGAGGAGACAAATGAGCCCGGGGACGACATGACTGCAGAAGACATTTTGGTAGACGATACAATGGATGAAACAAGCAGGACCGAGAACAACCTGATGCCAGAAGAGTTGAGTGAAGTACAGGAGCAAACGGAGGCTGGAAAGGAGGAGCGTAGTGAGATGGAGTCTGAAAACCCGTTTGAGACCGGAGAAGCTTCTCACCATAACCAGGTCGCAGCATGTGACATGGGCTCATAGAGATTTTATTTATCACGGCTCTTGGGTTACTCTTAAACTCAATTTGCACTATTATCCTCCCCATCCATCTCCACCCCCCCCCCCCCTCCTCCCTTCCCAAGTTTCATCTTCAGTCCAAATACTATTTGTATATTTATGAATAAAAACATTTTAGAAGAGAGCACAAAGTGAGTGTTGCTCACAAAGAAAATATTGTTTTATTTTTTTGTTTTTTATATATTGATAAATATTTTGTGAATGCCTCTTATTTGTGCCTGTTTTAACTCCTTTTAGTTTTGTTATGTGTATATTGCTGCTGAGTAGTGCTGTGTTTAAAGAGAGGGATTCTTTTGAATCCTTGTTTTTGTGCCATGTTAATTTAGAGAATTTAAGTCATTTCTCGTTGTGTAACTCTGCTGATGGGAAGCTCTTGTACCATATTTACCACTTTCTTCTACAAAACAGCCTCAAGTGTAAACACCCGACATACTGTTCAAAATCTACTCCCACTATGCAACAGTTTTACTGTAAGTTAAATTTATTTTAGAAATGAGATTTGCTTATAGCAGGTTTCTCCCCCCCAGGTCCGTCTGTTCATAGCAGGAAAGGTACAGGCATTGACCAATGCCAACAAAGATATCGCTGTTCTCCAAATGTGCCTGTGAGCAACGATGGTGTGACTGAACGCGAAGGACTTAAATGGAATACGGCGATAGTTCATTTTAATACTCAGCTGTGCTTGTCTTACTGTGACGTACTATTAAAGTAACTGTAAATAGTTTCAGGATACACATAATCTTGTTTTGGATTCATTGTTGTAATTTCACTGTTTTGTTGGATGTGTGCAATTTTTCATATTCCCCCTTTGGGGAAATATTTTTTTAATGATAAATACTGCCAAATGGAGAAAATAAATAAAACTTTGGACAACAATATTGTCAATACTATTTTGCCTTAATGAGATGTCCACCTATCGCGTTTATTTTCACCATTGTATCAATTTATCACCGCCAATGAAGACCACAAAGTACAATATGTTGTTTTTTAAATTGGGCCTAGATGTTTTTACAAAGTCTGCTACTTCACGCCGCGCGGTCCCGCGACTTGAATGCAGATGAGCGCGGGCGCACACACACAACTTGGCACTACCGTGTGGAGGAGTGAATGAGTTGGTAAATAAAACAAAAATGACTTCCGGTGACGTTGTAGTAAGTACACCACCTCGTTCGGTGCCCTACACGTGACCTCGATGTTAAAATGATGTGAAACGGCTCAAGGGGAAGCAGCGAGCTGTTGAAATGACCTTTTCCCTCTTTGGTTCTTGGTTTGTTCCACTCCGCCCCACTTTCAATGGGTTGCTAGGCGACGGTAGTCAGGTGACTGTCTGCAGACAGAACATGGCTGATCTGTCAGAAGACCAATGAGGGAAAGGCCAACATTTAGCATAATCGAGCTTATTTCCTGCGTCGTTTCTGACCACAGTGGAGCGTCGTGGGCAGCGGTTGACCAGAGTTCTTCAAGGTAAGCACAAAAAGCGCTCTCGTTGCGGAGAGCCGTATTAACTTACTGTGTGTCGCCCTGGAAGAGCCGAAGCTAAGGTTGGTGTTGGCTAGCTAACGTTAACTTTGCCTTGACGGTAGCTGCTAACCAAACAGTCCCCGCTTTCTCTTTCACAACTCCCGCGGAATGTGGAAGCTCGCAATAGGAAATGGAATCGAGACGTATGTTTATCGACGCAACGTGTTGACCACCAGCATACGTGTAACCTCATTTTACTGCCCGAAGCTATAATGTGCTGTATCGAACGTGTTAACAGTAAAAACTACCCTGACGTAACGTTAGTTAAAGGAAAGGTAACGCTACTAGTTAACGTCAGCGAACGAGTTATGTGTGATGTGGCATCTCTGTAACTCTTTTTAAAACCAAAGTCAATACCTTCACCTTCGGACTGAGACCCCCATGAGCAGGAAACCAGGGCTCGACACGGTGAATGTAACGTGTCATCAGTTCTTTCAACTTGTTCTATTGACATAAAATCTGACCCGGGACTATGTGGAAAATATAATCCAGTAGGTTTTGCCATTTGCCGTAATGACATACAAAAACTTTGGGATGAGGTTTTGTGCCTAACGTTAGTTTATGTGAACGATGTGTTTGGGGGGTTGGAGTTATTTATATACTGGGCCTATCTGGAAGAATGCCACAGTCCTGTCACAGAGCCTATTTCTCTGTTAAATATTGTACTTGTTATGTCATAGATGAATACAGATATAGATTCAGTAGGTTAACTGATGGAGTATTCAGCAGTTTGCATAGTGTTTTTGGAGGAACACCATGAAGGGAACCCACAAAAAATTGTTCCTTTATTATCCCAGTAATATCAACATCAGTACTGCAGCAGATCCATTACTTATTTCTAAGTTAATGTTACGTTTAAGATGATATCTTAATAAATAAAGATAACATCATCCCTACAGTTTATGGCTTAGGCTTCAGCAATATGGTTTAAAATAATAGCTTGTTGTTGCTATTTAAAGTTAAAATAACTGTTATTGCCTCCAACAAGCTTTTATATTCAAACAGTCTGTTGACTGAGACTCATTCTAATCATTGACTCTGTACAAATGAACATAAAACAGATATTCAAGCCATGTTGTTGCACAAGACTTTAAAGCCTTTCTGAATGTTTTATCGACTGACCTGATTGCAGATGAGCGGGTTGCCGGAGGGATTAGCAAATGGCAGAAGCGAACCCCTTGGGAACGATGCTCAGATTTGGGAAAGACCCTGGACTCTTGAAGAGATGCGGCGGAGCAGTGCCGACTGGTCCCTGGCAGCTGACTCAGGAGTAAGTCAGAAACTTTCTTCCCAATTTACAAATACAAAATCCTCATCATCTTTTCTGGAATAGACTGAAAAACCCTGCGGAAAGATGCGTAGTGGAGGAGATTGTAAAAGTTGTTGTTGTGCTTTGGTATAATGAAAAGAACTGTGCAACTGTCTTCATGTAGTTTTTTTTCCTCCACAGCTCTTCCTGTTCCTTCAAGACTTCTCTCAGAGAATGCTGTCGAAGACACATGACATTGAAAAGCAGTTGGACAGTTTGATCCGTGACACCAAAGCCACAGATAGCTGCTTGCACTCTGTCTTTAATGACTTCCTCATGCTTTCCAATACACAGTTTATAGAAAATGTAATTTACCCCTCTTCTTTTTGTTTTTGTTTTTTGCTTGTTTTACTATTGCTGTGACAATTATCCATTTGTTTGGGTTGTTTTGTTTTTGTAGGAACATTTTGCAGATTACACAATGTAATCCATCTGGTAATAGAACACTTCTTTTCACTTTGTGTCCTGTAGAGAGTGTACGATGAAGAGGTTGAAGAGACTATTCCCAAGACTGATGCCTTGGAGAATCAGCCTGATCAGGTATAATGGAATCTTCTTTCCTCGTCTTAACATTTGATTGCGTGGAGTATTGTTATTTTCAGTATGTAGGACACATTATACACAAGCATCGCCCTGTGAAAGTCCTTTTTTTCCCCTCAAAAGGTAAAAACTCGAGAGCAGAAAGAAGCGGAGTTGATCCCTAAGATGCAGGAAGCAGTAAGCCATGGTCTGAGGGTGCTGGAGTCGGCCTTCGAGCATCTTGACATCAAAGCGGGAAACTCTGATTCAGAGGACGATGAGGTCACAGACAGAGTGGATGCCATTCTGGAGCCTAAGGTGTGTTGTGATTCTTAAAGCAGTGCGGTAATGCATGTGATCATGCATCTTTACATGAATGTTATTCATACCGTGTGTCTGTTTTGTCCTTGTCTTTTAGGATCTCTATGTGGATAGACCACTTCCATATCTGATTGGTTCCCAGGCCTTCATGGAACAAGAGGAGGTTGGACTTGGTGACCTCTCCAGTGATGGTAATATTCTTATGACAGATTCTTCAGGCACTTTCATATTATGCTGCTTACTTTCCCTCATACCTTTGTATGATTCTCTTTCCAGAAATGTCAGTTGACAGTGACAGAGACAGCGTAATTGAGAGCGAAGATGGCAAAGAATCAGTTGTAAGACTTTTTTCTTTTTCTTTCATAGTGTTATTTAAGGTTACTATTTTAACATATTGCACCATCAAAGGAAACTTCAATGTATACTTTTATTTATTCAACAGCGCTCAGATGATGACTTCAACCAGGAGGAGGACGAAGGCCACAAAAGTATTCAGAAGGTACAGTTGACTGCCTGCCTGCTAAAACACATTAAAGATTCCATTCAAGATGAAGAACGTAATTGTCATTTCAATTCTCTTCCTACACTCACTTAGAAGTCATCCATGTTGAGTTATGAGGAAGAGGATGATGAAGAGGATGAGGATTCTGACATTTTTGCAGAATCAGACAGGGATGAGGATGACGACAACGACAGCACGAAGGTTCGCTTGTTATGACTTTGCTTGAATACTGATGAGATATGTTTGGTTATTTCGGTCTGGAATGATTCATATACGATCTTCAGTTTCTCCGGGACATTGTTAATCTTTTTTTTTTGGTGATACATCATATTCAGAACACTGGCACATCGTCTTTTGCTGATGAGCTGGCAGCCCGGATCAAAGGGGAACCAGTTAGTAAACCAGAGGGAGATCGCACGTGTAAGTCACAGTCGATATCAACCAACTGGCAGTACATCATCTCCCTTTTGTTACATCCACTTTTTCACATTTATTTGGGGGAAAACCTGGCGTCAGAGTCTGAATTTGAGTTAAGTAATTACATGTTTGCATGTGCATGCTCACGGTTTTGTGTATCTACCATGTCATGTTTTTAAAGCATTGTCATCTAAGAAGAAAAGTAAAGGCAGGAAAGGACCAAAGCCTGCAAAGCCACAGGGTAGGACTTTCATTCATCATCACAACAATGATTTCTGCATTCGTTCTTTACACAGCGGGCCCATTGTTCTCGGTGTGATCCTCAATACTGTTTGTGTACCTTGTGTAACAGCGGCTGACGAGGACAGTGATGACATGTTTAAGCCACCGAAGATGGATGATGACGACTTCTCCCCATTTGGAGGGAAAGGAGGCCTCTTCAGTGGTGGGAAAGGCCTATTTGACGACGATGAGGAGGTATATTAAACTTGAGGATTTTCCGAGCTCACGCTTATTCATTCCCATTTACTCTGAAATTGGATATGTGCTGTATTGTGTTCTGTCATTCAGGGGGATCTTTTCTCCGAGGCTCCAAAACCTCCTACGTCCGAAGACAAAAAGGTGCTGAATGAAAGCATGAGAAGCACATCTCAAACTCCAAGTAAGACCGTAGTTTTTCAAGACAAAGACTTCTACATAAGATCTGTACAAACATATAGAAGAAGATAAAAAAACTAGCCTTGCAGATTAACACAGACCTTTTCTTTTCCATTCAAGAATCGGACATATCGGGAAAGAAGATTCCAGCAGGTGGCGTTTCAATATTCCCAGGTAGAAGCATTATCTCGTATGACTCCGAGAATCGAGCCTTTGTCGGCTTCCTCGTGCTCAACGGCCTCCTTCTTTCTCTGCAGACGACAGCCTGTTCCCTTCAGGGCTCGACTCTGACTCAGTGACGAGCAAGGAAAACGGGACTCGAGTTCCTAAGACCAATGCTGCCTCCACTCCTGCTCCGGCGGGGGCTGCTTTTGGTGAAGGAGCAGGTGGGCTGTTTGATGATGAGGACGAGGAGGATGACTTCTTCAGCGGTAAAAGCCTGATAAAGTCTGACTCCGGTAAGTGCGCGAGACAGTTGGCCCGTCAGTGCGGTAGTCTGGGTTCTGGTGGGATTCTCACTCTCAACCCCCCCTCTCGTTCAGCTGGACACAAGACACCTAAGAAAGCTATTGATCTTTTCGACGAAGACGATGGCGACATATTCGGTGAGAAGTACATTGCTCGGACGCCGGCACAAAGCAAGAAGGAGTTAGTGGAGGAGCAGGTTAAACCACCTGAGAAAAAGGTAAAAATCAACATTCAAGTGTCTCCATGTGGGTGAACATAATGACATAATTATAGTTTTAATGAATCACCCATTGTTTGGTGGATGTAAATTATGTTTTTTTCCCCATTGTTATGTTTAGATGCCAGCAGGCGCAATCTCTATGTTTGGACCAGGGACGCAAAGCTTGCTCAATGAGAGCCTGAAGAAATGTCAGCCGACTCCCAGCGAAGCGTCTGAGAAATCTATGGAGGTCAGAATACTGTTTTTAACAATATACTCTGGTGCTTCCACAAGCAATATGCCACTTTTGAAGGTCCTGTCTACATTGACTCGCACGGTAATTTATCAGGCATGGGTGGCATTAAATGAACAGCGCTAGCTGAGGTCAGTATATTGAGTGCCGTAGTCAAGTGCAGACTGAGAAAAGGTCACATTTGATTTAGTTTTAGTGGACTTGTGGCTTTTACTCTATATAGTTCAGTTCTCTTTCTTCAGCGTTTCTTTCAAGACTAAATCTTGTATTTGTAGAAAGAACGTTATGATTTAGAAAACTATTCATATTAAATGTTCATCTTCATGTTATGCATATAGAATGGACCGGCTCCAGATCATACTAAGGCTGCTGTGAAGCAGACCCAGAAGCCTCAGATGAGAGGCCTCTTCTCTGATGATGAAGACACACAGGTACGACTCCCTTCACTTCACTAGAAAGGAAGTGATAACAGAAGAGATACACTTAATTACACTGTGTATTTGCCGTCCATAGGGATCTCCCATTAAGAGCCAGTCTAAGCCTGAGCCTACAAGCCAGGGCAAAACCAGCAAGGCGCCTCTGTCATTATTTGATGACGAGGAAGAAGAGGTGAGAATAATAAACTGATTAGTCCCACACGTGGGCAAAACTTAATTAGCTTCCGCTTTGATGCAAGTATATTAATTTGGTTCTTCACACCTCGCAGGACCTGTTTGCTTCCGCTGCAAAGTCCAAAGCAAAACCTCATCAGACAAAAGCCTCCACACCGCAACCCAGCAGAGCCGTGTCCAGCTCCCTCTTCAGTGATGATGAGGTACGAGGCTACACAAACTCTACTGCTGCATACCAGGATGCCACGGTGCCTATAATGTGCTACAACATTATTCTTGAACATTTCAATGACAGGACCAGTGGGTGAGTTCTATAAATAGTGCGGGGAAGTCAGAAGTAAAGGCAGGAGGGATGAAGACCAGCGTCAGCGCTCCCTCTGGTCTCATCGCTGCCAAAATCTCTCACAAAAGCAGCCTCTTTGACAATGATGACGAGGACGACCTGTTTGCTCCAGCGACAGAGTCAAGGTATTCACACTCGTCAGGAGGATCAGTGCAAAAGCAAACCGGCTCACTTTTTCAATTGTATTAAAATCCTGTCAACCCCAGTTTGAATATATATATTTATTCATTGTATTGCTCAGAATTCGTACCCATCCTCTCACTGTGTCGCTCTTCACACAGCCAGCGGAAACCTCAGAGGGTCGCCCTGTTGTTTGAAGATGAGGGTGACGACGATGCAGATACGGGATCCCTCTCTGGCATCAAACCTGCTCTCAACACAAACACCGCAGCCTCAGCGGCTAAAGTGAGTGCGCTTATCATTTAGTTTTTGGAATTAAAAAAAAAGAATGCAAGGGCTTTAGAAAGTTTAAGGTATGAGGGCTGAAATAATTGACTCATTCACAACAGCACCAATTAAACCGAAACTGGGATGAAATTAACATACAGTACCTGTATTCTTAGGCCTCTCAGTCGTCCTCCCTGTTGGAGGAGTCAGAAGAAAAGCCTTCAGCGCAGAAGACCCCTGAGCCGCTCCCATCGGCGCCCTCGACAGACATCGGCGAGAGTAAAAAGAAGCCTGCCGGGGGGTTCAGTCTTTTCGGCGGCATTGACGTTCTGGCCAGCAGGCAGACAAAGACCCCGTTGGATGAAGACGGCCTCCTTTCTGAAGACGACCCACCGCCCAATGTCAAGAAGGAGGAGAAAGTCAAAACAAACGCTGTTAGTCTGTTCGATGATGAAGAGGAAGATGAATCCGATTGGAATGAGCCAATATTCACACCCAGTAAACCCGCATCGAGCAGCACTCAAAAGGTTTGTCTGATTCATGCGGTGAATGTGAGAACCGCACGAATGCAAATGTTGCATTGGTGTGCGTTTTTGTCTGCGGTGAAGGTGTAAAACGTGTCTTTTATTTTCAGCTCGCAGAGGATCGGCCACAGACGACAAGCACAGGTGTGTTCCAGGATGAGGAGCTGCTGTTCAGTCAGACGCAGCAGAAGGACAACGACCCAGATGTTGACCTGTTTGCCCCCTCGGGGAAAGCTGAGGTCAGGGTGTTAGATATTCTGTCTTCATAATGTGGCGTTTTTTTTAGTTTACTAGAGCAGAAGCAGATGACTTTTACAAGATGCTAACAATACACGACTGTTTACTTTTCAGAGCTCTAAGCTGAGCTCCGAGAAGCCAGCGACAACAAGTCTGTTCGCAGAAGACGATGAGGACGACCTGTTCGGCTCCGTCAAGACGAAGACTCCTCCTCCGGTAGCAATTTGATTTGTTTGTAACAATTCAAATGATACTAGATTCCTGCTTCCCTAACATTGCATATTACACCAGCTGCATAAATCGCCATCGAACTGAACCACACAATTTCTAATCATCAGCAGGACGTTAAATTGTCTTTCATGTTTGTTGTCAGAAAGTAGCGGAGAAGCCCAGTAGACCTGATGACAGAGCGCCACTCGCAAGTCCCGAAGCTGCAACCGAGATTCAGGTGAGTCTACTGCAAGCGAATACTCGTATCATGCGCCATTTCGTTTTCTTTGAGCCATAAACACATTTACTTATTTGTCCACGTGGTTTTAATATACAGTTCATTTTTGCCTATGTTACGTGCTTTTCTTTTAAAAACCTTTTTAACAGTGTTGTGTCGAGAAATGCCTCTATTGGATTCAATTCTGAAACTGCCGTAATCTCACCACACAGAAGCCTGCACCAAACCCTGTAAAACCTAAAGATTCCTCATCAAGGATTGGGAAACTTCAAGTAATGTTTTTGGTTTTATTTAAACAAAAAGCTCCATTCCTGACATTTCACTTTGATTCCTGTGTGTCTTCTTTTTTTTCTCTTACACTATTTCACTTTAAAGGTGTCTTCTTTTGGGGCTTCCTCATGTTCATACGTAAAAGCTTTGCTATGATACAGCTGCATGACCACAAGAATGAAGATCTTTTTGGATTCAAGCTGGAAATGTTTTCACTTTCTTTCAGTCTTATCGGTTTCTTTACACCTTGCTCTTGCCTCATTGCCATCCACTGTCTTGTTTTTTTTCTTCTTTTTCTTATTCTTCAAACCAATGCGTTAAACTGAAAAGAGAGCAGTTGTGAATGTGTAGTTCGATGGGAACGTCTGTCTACATAGTCTTAACTGTTCAGGGTCCATTGTCTCTCTTTCGCCGTGACAGATTATTGTGTTGACGTGTCTGATGTTGTCATTCAGGCCAATCTGATGATCAACCCCGCCGCGTTGCTCCCTGGTGCTTTCCCCGGCACAGCTCCTAGTTCCTCCTCTAAGGTTTCCAACTCCAGCCTGAGCCCCGGCCCTGCCACAACTCCTACAGGAGCCCAAACGGACCTCGAGGGAGGGTTGAATTTCAACGACCCGATTCAGGTTACAACATTGCAGAGCGCGCACAAGGTGGGTTTTTAATCCCTTGAGGAGAAAATCTTTTAGTTGCTTTTTGTTTGCTTGGATATTGATATTTCGAGCTCAACTCTTCTGTCATGCAGAGTCGTGCCAAAGGTTCTGTTCAGAGGAGACCCCAGTCCAGAGCTGCGAGGCAGCAAGCAGCCCAAAGAGCTTTACTGGATAAAGGAGTGGCCGAGGGTGGAGACGTTCCAGGGCCCAATCCGAGCCTGCCTGCTTTAGCATTCCCTCCACCAGATAAATCCAGCCAGACACAGGCCGGTCCGATATTACCGAGCTTGGCTGAACCCGCTCGCCCGCCCGCCTCCTCGCCTTCTCCTTCACCTTCATCCCTCTCTGAAGTCTCCTCCACGGCGCCGGTACCGAAGCTGCCCGTGTCCACAAACGGCGGAAAGAAAGACAGCAGCAGTACCAAAGTGCTTCCGTCTCCTGGTGAGGAGGACATTTTTGCCTCTGACAGTCTGTTTGGGGCCACTTCAGTCACTAACACGCCCTCCGCCAAGACGACGCAACCTCAGGCCAGCGGTGGGGTGGGAGTGAAGACAGACGGAGACAAAAGCACTCTCCCATCCATTTTTGATGCCAACACGGGTGACCTTTTCCAGAAGGTCAAACCCAGGTCAGCAAAAAAAAAAGCCGTGGCCACGTCCTTTTTGGAGGAAGAGGACGACGATGAGGACATCTTTGGAGTGAGCAACAGCTCCGCTCACACCTCCACGGGTAGTAAAGGAATCAAAAGCAGCAGTAGTTTTTCAAAGGAGAACATCTTCCAGGTATCTTTTATTTTTGGTAATTTCTTTGCCATCATCGGAATATGTAGACCTTGAGTTTGAAATAAAGTTTGAAATGTTTCATGTCTTGAATATTTGCCAAATTGCTGTTTTCAGGATGAAGTTTCCACGGTGCCTAAAGTTCTCAAGAAGCACAAAGAGAAGACCCTTGATGCCAGCTTGTTCGATGACAACATAGACATTTTCGCTGATCTGACGGACACTTTGATACCAAAACAGAAGTCCAAGACGAAAGTAGAGACCAAGTCAATATTTGATGATGACATGGGTAAGCATGCCAGCATTCATGTTTTTTGCAATTTTGTCCTTTTTTATTTTTTAAATCTGTGTTTAACTGGATGTTTTGTCCATGTCTTTATTCTTTAAAGATGACATCTTTGCACCCAGCATCGTAAAACCAGTCACGAAGGCTCCCCAAAAGTCAAAGAAAACCCCACTTCCTCAGGAGACCAGTACGGCTGCGGATCCAAGCAACACATTTGAAGATCCACTTAATGCTCTCGGTGGGAACTGAACTGTTGTTTCTGATTCGCAAGACTTGTATAATTATGGATTCATTTCTTTTGCCATTTGGAGGCTGTAAGATTGGAGATCGGAAACACTGTTGATTATTTATTAATTTGAAATCTTATAAATACTGGGGCTTATTTTTGCCAGATATAGATTTTAAAATGCAAATTATTACAAGCATCTTCTGACAGCACTTCCAAAATCATCTCAGTTCAGATCATATTATGTAACAGTTACAATGTACTGTTCACCTTTATAATACATATTAGCACTTTATCAGCAACGGCTACCATATGCTTTGTCTCAAAGCATGCAGAAATTAACAGTAATTTGTTTTAAATGTCTATCATTTGGCTTTTCCATGTTGAGATTATATGTTTTTGGATTTGCACCATATAGCTATAAGAAATTAGTGTACTTACTGTTAGGCATTTTGACAATGTTTTTATTGAAAAGAAATTGACGAATTTCTTAACTTTGCCTGTGATGAAAATGGACATTTTTAATAACTAAAAATAAATATTTTCTATCTGAAATGAGTGTGATCACTTGTGTTGTTTCTTTCCGGACTTGTTATTATTATTACTTATCAATATTGTTCAGTTTGAATGGGGCAGGGAGCCGACTAAACTTGAGAATTATATTTAACGTTTACACTATTCCTGTATATATTTTGGATCATTGGGGTTATGAGGTCAATATTAAAAAAGGAAAACAAATTAACTGTTTGAGTGTATTAACATTTAAAAGGGACCGAGACAATCATCCTCAGCCAAAGATGTATTAACCGATGTACAGCGAGTCGTTCAAATGGTGTTTTAAACCGTGATAATTACCAACTATAACGACGACATTGGTAGAAAAATATATTTTTATTTCTTCATTCCAGATTTTGGAGGATGTGACAGTGTCCGCCTTTGACCCACGGTTTTAACCATATGGTTTTAACGAACTGATCATTTCCTGTTCCGCCCACTTCCCCATCTGTGGTGCCAGTTGGTTCCTTTGTCTGTCAATCAAATTAAATCACAAAGGTGTTGTTCAACCGCTTTCGACAGGTACGATGGTGTCGCCCACCAGCGGACCACGGCCACCGACAGCGGTCAACAGTCTACTACGTTTCGTTCGCGGTTTTTAGGGTCACCGGGATGAAGTGCCGCCCGTCACGGTCGAGAGTTACCGCTACACCGGACCGAAGCCGACTGATGTAGCCTAGCACCCTGCTAGCTCACCGCTGAGAGGTTAGCCATTGTTTGACTTGTTGGCTAACATGGCAACCGAAGCTAACAGTAGCGGCGTTTTTTTACGACCGTGTTATCTGAGAAGGGAGCTACTGGTGAGCGGGTTTTGATCAGAAAATACCGACGTCAACCAGGAATTTACATTACATAGTAAAAAGTAAGGTTAAAAAAATACGACTCGTGGTCACCTTTCTTTGCGAACGTTAGCTGCTGTTGTGTTTACGCGAGTTGCTAACGTCGACCCAGTTTCTCCTCATGTAACGTTATCTGACTTGCTCTGTGGCTTCTGACGTTACCGCGCTGCTGTGGTCAACCACCGTCGGTTAACGTTTAATCCGCACGACGTTACGCCGTCGCCCGTCACACGACAACATCGGCGTCTTATTTTTCTTTCTTCACGCGATGACTCCCGTCGACAACACGTCTCTCTGTGAATACACCCCGGGCCTGTTATGCTAATATTATCGATCCGCGAGCCCGTTCATCTTTAATGGTTATTCACCTGTGGACTTAACCGCCACCGTGAGACCCGGTAAGGCCACAGTTGCGTCCCCAGTGAAGTGGACTCGTCTCAATTGCAAGGGTCAGTGTGTTGTGTCTCTGGAGCACAGCGCGTGTTCGATTGAAGCCCCGAAACACAAAGGGGGACAATGGAATATATTGCTATGTAGAAGGGCATGCACCCGCTATGGTTGACTTTAACATTTTAGAAGAACTCCACGTGGCTCTTTTAAACAAAAGCATGGTTGACCTGTCAGCTTCATGCAGATGACATTTTGCAAGATGTTGAGTCAAGTGGCACAAGACGTGATCAGTCAGAGGCTGCGATCCGGCACAGGACACTTCATACCGCGGCTTATGTAGCACACCTGATCCCCTTGCATTTTGGCCAGGGACTTACTCCACTGCTGCACTAAATATTTAAAGAGGTGTCTGCACAGGTCTGCTGTCACTGTCTTTCCTTCTAAAATAATTGCACGGTTTCGGTTGTGCTGTCAGTTTTTATACCATACCACTGGTTTACCATATCAAGTGCAATCCTCAATTATGTTATTCATGATGCGAACATCCCCCAGTCAGGCAACACTTCACATACATTTATTTTGTCCACCTATACAAATATATATTCCTGTCTGCCTTAAAAGTGCAGTTGATACGTTGGTCAAAAAATACTGCCACAGGAGTGTTTTTTAACTAATCAGAAATTAAAGTTGTGATGATCATACCCTCCTTTGTTTCTACTCCCAGCTGTGGTCATGCTGCATGATGTGTGACGGTTGTGAGGCTAGAGAGCAGTGCTTGTCCCTCTCTCCCTCATCTTGGGCCAGCCGTTCCATTTAAGCACGTCCCTGAAGTTCCTCGCCCGACCTTACAGGATGACCGACAGGAAGAAGCCGCCGTTCTGTAATGATGACAGCGCGGGAGCGTTGCACCATAAGCTCCCGTTCTATGACACTATGGAGCTCTTCATAGAGACCCTGACAGGGACCTGTTTTGAGCTGCGTGTGTTGCCCTTCGAGGCTGTCATTTCAGTCAAGGCAAAGATTCAGAGGCTGGAAGGTACAAAGCACACACATGTATACTTTGCATGCTTTAGTCTGCTGTTAAGGAATAGTGTCCCTACTGAATAAGTCATATTGCAGTGATTGAGCCTGCAAGCTGTATCAATTATCTGCTAGACTGGGTTCATGAGGAGTTGTTAGTTTATGTATAACTGCACAACTGTATCTACTAAAAGTTTTATATTGTCTGTGGTGTGGACTTAATTGGTAGGCATACCTTTTTAAATGTCAAATTAATGAGAAGAAAACTGGTTAACCTCCATCTTCTTCTGATTTAAGTATCTGTCAGTTTTTTTCATTCATTTTGACCTCGGCTGCCTTTTCTGCTGTTTTCAGTTTTAGTTGTGTGTGTGTGTGTGTGTGTGTGTGTGTGTGTGTGTGTGTGTGTGTGTGTGTGTGTGTGTGTGTGTGTGTGTGTGTGTGTGTGTGTGTGTGTGTGTGTGTGTGGAGGTCAGCCAGCCAAAGTGTGTTAGAGAAACCCATTCGGCAATGAAAATAACACTTCTCCTCCTCTGACACTGGCTCACCTCCAGCGTCGGGTCAGCGAGTTCACCATGTGAGCTTCTTCACAATGAATATACTGCACATACTTTTGAGAAGCCATTTGTATTATTTAGGCTGTCAACCGCAGTATTTTTATTAGGATGCAGCCACACAGTACCAGTCACGTTTGGACACACTCTTTCATTTTGAATTGAATGTCCAACCAACCTTGTGTTTTAAGTTTAGCTGCAAGATAAGTTGTCTTTATGGGGAGATATTATCACCTCAACAAGTAGTAAGAGTGCACTATTATTAATGCTACTGTTTGGTCCTTTGCCAGTTTTCAGCAATAACATAGTTCTGTCTTTAGGGGGCAGACATGAATCATCTTTAGTGTGGTGCGGCTGCTTCTGTTGGCAGCATTCCCATCTTGCCCTTTTGTCATATGTGTGAACTTAGTCTATAAAATATGAACCGGTCCTTGTCAACGCTGGTTATTCTCTGCATTCTACTCCCTCTGACTGTCTGTAAGGTATCCCTGTTGCCCAGCAACACCTTATCTGGAACAATTTGGAGCTGGAGGATGAGAACTGTCTTCACGACTACGGGTAAATCTATTCCTGTCGCCCCTTTGTCTTCTGCAGTGCACTCACACAGACGACCAGCGTGTTCTACCAATTACTAGCAATGTGTTGGAATTGGCCCGCCGTAAGAGTAATTTACATGTGCACTTTGGTTGTGACTCTGTCTTAATTGAATTTGACATTTTATAAATGAGCCGGAGATATCGAGGCGCATGACAAAGGGGACACACCGGTCACACGAGTCGGAGAACTCGTCCTGCCACTCTTGTCAGTTGACATGATGCAGACCTCACCCTCCGGGGCTCTGCTGGCCGCAAATTGTGATGATGTTGTTGGTACTTGTCACTTAATTTTACATTACATGTCATTTCGCTGACGCTTTTATCCAAAGCGACTTGCAATAAGTGCATTCAACCGTAGGGATACAAACTCAGAAGAACAAGAAACACATAAGCAGCCTGTGGTGAGATCTTGCTGGACCGGCCTCTTACGCCGCAGCATGTTTTTTTAATTCTTGGAAGGTACAGTAGGCATGAAACGTCTGCTCATCAGATAAAAGTGTTCCAGTGGAATTACAGGTCATGCACTAAAGTTCTTCTGGAAATCATCCAGATGCTGTGAGTGCTATAAACGTTACATTGGAGCATCTCCCCTCTGCTTCAGTAAAGACCCTTAATGTAGAAATGTACTGTTATCTCCTGCTTTTCTATCACATTGGCGGACACATGGAATGTTTACAATGCTCTCCGTGTGTTGTCCTTCATTGATCATCAGTCTGTCTGTGTTTGCAGTATTGCAGAGGGCTGCACATTGAAACTGGTCTTGGCTATGAGGGGAGGGCCAATTAACACCAGGAGAGGTAAGGAAAAGACCCAAAGGACTGCACATGAGTGCTCTTGTCTTTTATCAAACGTTTGTTGTTCAAATGCTCTGTTTCATAAGGAAATGAAATGTGCGGTTTTCCGTTCTTTTGACAGCTGAACCCCACTCTCTCCTCTTTAGTAACCATCGATGATCCTATCAAAGAGGTTACTGACCTGATGGAGGGCACAAAGGAGGAGGGCTGGGAGAAAAGCCTGGCCAACAAGCAGGTCACGTTTGTGGTCTACCGAGAAAATGACCAGTTAAACTTCTTCCGAGTCGTCGACAGGGGAGACGGCACCCTGACCCCTCTGTCTGAATCCATGAGGTTGGCACATTATCAAATTCTCCCTGCCGTCTTAAAGCCCAGTTCTTATATCTGTAGGTGAAGATCCGTTGTTTTATGATTGAAATTAAACCTATATTGTGCTGGACAGCACACATACAAAACGCTTAAACATATACTTTCTCTGGAGGACTAAATGAGTTGTCAAAAGATGACAACAGCCTATTTAGCAATAAACTAAAAATAAGACTCCCTCTCACAGTCTCCTTCCATTCACTAAACCAAACTGCGGCGAAGCATTTACCCCCATTGCTACACCCGACACCGCACGACTCAAATATGGTACAGAACCAAAATGGCACAAACAATGCTGCCACAATATCATTAAATGTCCAAATAAAACTATGCACAATAATATGGAATGCCATTTTAGTTCAAATTAAATAAATGAATAAATACATGAAATATGCATTTGAAATACATCATGAAATAAATAAATGAGGCAATAAATACATAAATATTAAATACATTTAATTATTTCATGGTACTTTTATTTCATAATGCCACTTTTCATTTCCAGAGTCTTTTTATTTCATAATGCCACTTTTCATTTCCAGAGTCTTTTATTTCATAATGCCACTTTTCATTTCCAGAGTCTTTCATTTCATAATGCCACTTTTTATTTCCAGAGACTTATTTCATAATGCCGTTTTACAGTTCACGTTCTTATATGCAAATCAGGGGGCGTGGCTACATCTAACATTCAGAACAGACAACAGACCCGTGTGCAAAAGAAGGCTGGCTAAGGGACCGGTGGGCTCCGAGGTAGCATGCTAGCATTAGCAGATCAAATCGATCAACATGGGTTTTCTGCAGATACGATTTTGACATATATTGAGGGTTTTTTGGAAATACTGGATAAGTGCTCTTCAAGATGTATACATAGACGACGAAGTTTTAAATTGTTTAAGACTGATTGAGCACCGCGTGCGTGTGGAAGAGGTCCAAGTTGAAGAAGTCAACATTAGCGCTGTTACAACTTTGTGTTGTCAACCCGAGAAATCCAATATCCAGGAATATCCAGAGGTGGGCGTCCAGCACCTGTGCTTGTAGTACCAGCGCTAATCTCACGTCCCTTAGCCAGCCTTCTTTTGCACACGGCTCTGTTGTCTGTTCTGAATGTTAGATGTAGCCACGCCCCCTGATTTGCATATAAGAACTTGAAATGTAAAACGGCATTATGAAATAAGTCTCTGGAAATGAAAAACGGCATTATGAAATAAAAGATTCTGGAAATGAAAAGTGGCATTATGAAATGTATGTATTTATTGCCTCATTTATTTCATGATGTATTTGAAATGCATATTTCATGTATTTCCGTATTTATTCATTTATTTAATTTTGACTAAAACGGCATTCCATACAATAAAAGGAATTTGACTAATACTTATTTAACAAACCGAATATCAGAAAATCAGAGAGGCTCGTGCATTAGGTTGCAAGAAAGAAGTGCAAATACATGTAATGATCGAAATATTTATGAGGCCAGTGGGGAGTTGTTCTTAACATTGATTACTTACTCCGTTGTAGTTGTGGCAGCTTAGTCCAGTGAGCGCTGAGGAGACTGCCGACAGCGCCGTACGGCCCCTGATAGGAAGGGTGTTTTTGCTTCTCGTATTTTCCAGTGGCGGCTCGGTGTGCAATGTGTATGCAGAAGAGGAGGAGGAGGAGGAAGATGGAGAGAGTTCTGCAGCTACACAGCAAAGCCTGGAGAACTCCATCACCATGAACAAAATGAAGCTACTCAAAGCCAAGATGGAGGACATGAACCTCAGCAAGAAGGTTGGAAGCTGTTGGCATTACAGACTGTACTTTCTATCACAGAGGGCAAATGTGGCCTCTTTTCACCTTGTTTTTGAATGAAAGCACCTTGTGAACGACATTAGTAGTCCATCCTCCAGCTGTTTAATTTTTATGATGTTTTCGTCAATAAAATAATGAACCAAGGTACGTCAAATACTTGCAGCACACAGAATCCTGCCTTTCTTAATTGATTAAAAATGTACGCTTGCATCCGTTTTGCATTCTGCTAATGTGCTGCACCAAATTTGATTAGCGTGTTTTTCAAAGACAATGGAGCTCTTCAATACATTCAACTGTACGGTGGCGTAATGATTTTTTCCTCATTTTTACAAGAAGCATAAAGTGGTAAAATGACCACTATGATTGTACGGTTTTACACCGGGGGAGGGAGTGTTGGGAATACAACTAAATGTGCAGTACATCTAAGAGGACAAAATGTGTCTGTGTCCTCCAGCCGAAGAAGTCAGCGAAGGTGAAACCGCGGCCCTCCGTCAACCCGCATCCCTGCGTTGGCTCCCTCGGAGCGACCAGCAGCACACGACACCACCATCGCCTCTTCCGTTCGCTCTCCCAGATGAACCAGCCTTGGCCGTCAAACGCACAACTACCTCCTATCGCAGACCACGAGTCCGTGGACCCCTTCTCGCTCTCCGCTGCTGCGACCTCCGCTCACTTTTCTGCCTCGAGGCGAGCCCCTCCCTCCTTGCCGTCGCCTTCTTGTTACATGCTTCGGGAAGAGGAGCCCTGGGAGACATGCCCCTCCTTTGCTAAGATCCGGCCTCCTCCCAAAGTGTCCCGGTTGGACATCGGCTGCACCAGGTTGATGCGGGACTGCGTGTACCCTCAGCTCCCGCCGCTGTGTATCAGGGGTCCACCTGAAGCGAGCTTCGACCCGGCCGAGCCGGCCGGGGAGGCCGACGGGCCGAGTTTGTTGGAGGAAGCTGCCGGGCTGATGGCGCCGGTGCAACCTGGAACTCCGTTTGGGGAACTGTTGGACCCCCTGAGTCTAGATGTGTCCGCCCAGCCGGAAAGTCGGTCACTCGGGGTCGGGGCTCAGCAGCAGTTCCCCATCTCTGCGTCCCCTCTCGGTACCTGGACCCTTGGGACGAGCGATGCTCTCACCAGCGATGGTTCACACCTCGGCACACCATTTTATATGCGCTCCCCCTCACCACCGACTTCGACTGGGCCGCTGCCTCTGGCTTTTGATTCCACTCTCTCCTGCTTACAGCCCGACCTTCAAGCACAAGTAAAGCCGGGCGGCGCATCCAATCACCCCCCCGCCACCGCGTCGACTCATCCGCTGGGCACTCGCGGTGTTAAAGTGGAGTCACCTGGCAAGAGACCGGGGCTCATCTCCAAGAGGGAAGCGAGAGGCATCGCTCAGATGGCAAACCAGGCCTGGAAGGAGCCAGTCGGGTCCCTGAAACACTCTGACCTCCTGGCGTCTCACTCCACGCGGGCTGCAGACGGCGACCACAGCAGGGACGGCCTGGGAGAGGTCCTGGGGCTCACGCCGGCATCGCCCCCCTACGGCGCCTCAGGACCGGGCAGCCTCAGCTCCCGGCTGCCGTCCATCCCGACCAACAGGCTCCTCCAGCACAACCTGATAAGGCAAATGTCCCCGCTGCAGCGAGCAGCAGCCTCTTACACGGTGAGTCAGGGAGACGTTGGTGCTTTCTGCCCAGATTGGATCTGTGGATTCGCTTTTATTCATTTTGTATTATTTATGCTAAATGTTTAGATGCAATATTCCTTGTGAGCTTCATCAGAGTGCTTTTTTATTGTTGTATTAAACCAAACGGATGAAGGAAACTGCATACATTGTGCTTTTGAAATTCCCCAGGATTCAACTGCTCGGCCAATCAGAAGAGAATTTTCAGTCATGAGCTCACAATGTGTTTTGCCACCATGTGTGATTATCTTTCTAGGCCTAGAGCAAAGCACAATATCTGATGATGAAAATAAAATATCAAAACTTTCCTTCTCAGTTTAAATATTTCATCAAACTGTTGTAGTTGATGAATCCACCTGACACGTTGAGGTACTTTATGCTCAATTGTTACATTGTGAAATGGATTTCAATGGATTAACCAGCCTTTTTAATAAGTTAAATACATAAGGAGAAATGCAATTTTTAGTCATAAATGATATAAAACAGCTTGTATTCAAGACATTAATCATGGAGTCTATCTATCTAACTATGTGCGCTTCACTTTTTATCCATCTAATATTGTGTTTATATTGATTTGCTCTAAGATTATTTCCTCTTTGTTATTTTCTTAGGCCACCGCCCCTCTTTCCTCAGCTGGGGGAGTCATGACATCATTTGGCAGAATAGGTAATTGCATTTCTGTTTTTTAATCATATTTATGATAATATGACCTATCAAAAGGTGTTTGTGATTGTCATTCAATATCTTTGTGATTGTGGGTGTGGGTGGTGAAAAAGAATCCACTCAAATCATGAGACTGAATGTCACCTTTGACTTTCATGAGGGTTTCCCTTAACACGATTCATGTGTGAGCCAGACAGCAGGAAAGAAAATAGTTTTGTGCTGCAACTGTTTAATTACAATGGCTATGACAAATATTACAATGGATAACATCTTTTTTTCAATACATTTAGAGTTTTTGACAGATAACTGACGGCAGGGAACAGGACTTCCGCACTCTTAATGTCAACACTCATTAAGCAGATGACTGATGCTTTTCCCTCGGAGGAAAGACTTCTCGGGCCTCTTTGATAACAGTCTCTGAATGTGGGATTTTCAAAGCTCTTGCTTCACTGGGAGAAAATCCAGCCGCATGCGGTGCTTCTTCACTTGTAGAGTGGCTGCAAAACACTGCAGTGACTCAACAGTTCTATCATTGTTTCAAAAAAAGAAAAACCCTCTGAAAAGGCCCTATTTTTTTTTGCTAAAGTACAAGCCTATGAAGAGCTTTGCATTGTAGTTGTGTGAGATTGCACATTTGAATTGTGGACGTTTGAGCCAGTGGTTTTAGCTGCTGTTCTCGAGAGGTGCGTTGGCATGCAGAGGGGAAGCTGTGAAGTCCTTCAGTGCGTGTTGTGTGCACTCTACAATAAAGCCTAGCCGAGGTTTTAAATATTCATTCTTCCTTCAACTGCAGAAGCAGCACAAACATCCGAAGGGCGGCAGGCCTACACACAAGGGCGCTTGTTTATGTAGACCACTCGAATGCTTTCACTGCAGTAAGAAATAAGGATACGTAATGCGTCAATGTATTCCTATTTTCCTCTAATAATTAGAAATGATGTCTGGTGTTTCCCAACGGCTGAGAACCTGTTGATGATGCTCGAAGAATCGACATTCAGCAGCCCGACTAACAACCACACATCAATGAATCATAAGTTAGTCTTCCTTTAGCTGCGTTTTCAGAAAGACTAGTGAGTGGTGTCTGTAATCTCTAGAGAAATTACTTTTCGAAATAGATTCCACCCATCAAACAACTCTGGTGTTCACGCCTCCATGCGAGTCATTCACAAAAGATTCACTTTCTGAATGACTCACTGCTTTAACCGGCTCCGCCCACCAACACGTCTTCCTCTCTTTCGCCCAGCTGGATGACCAGATCATACGGGAATCCTTCGCGTCGGGAGGACATTCAGGGACAATCAGTCTTAAATCCACCATGTTCTTGTCTTGACTACGTTGTTATGGTTGTTGTGCAGAAAAGTGAGTCATCCCTCCTCTGTCAGTGTGTTTACATGATGGTATAATTTGAATCTTTGCTTAGTCGGACTATGCTATCTTTCGGGGGGAGGTGCTATTATCCCAATATACATGGCAGTGAATAAATCGAACCATTGGCCGAAAGCATGTCATATCCGATACGATAGGTGGCGCTGATTTCATTACAACTAGTTGTGATACAGCCATTTCCGCTTGACCTCTTCACCACCAACAACAACCAACATCATCAACATTACGAGAAAGATGGCGAACGGAGAGCAAGGTGAAGCTACATGCTTCTACTATTTTTGCATGAAGTTAATAGGAGCCCAGCGAATGCGAATGGCGCTATTGGCTGATTTGATAACGGAGAGAAGACGCCGTCGGGATCTCAAGCATGCGCAAAGACGCACAGTCCAGTTCCTTATCCGATTCACCGTTACATGCCGCAATAGTCGAACTATCAACTGGATCGGATCGAGTTATCCAGGGGTGTTAGTCGGATCGTAGTCGGATAAAGGTGTTTACATGAAACGGATAATTCGATTTCAGTCCGACTAAGCCAGTTATTCGAATCCATGTAACCACGCTGTGTGAGAAGAGCACACAAGACCCCCGAGGTCTTTATCTGACATCCCCCATTTCCTCCATCAGGACATTTTACTTCTGTCTGATGAATAAAATCCAGTGGCCAGTTATCAGCAGATATAGTAGCATTTGGCAGTTAGGGAACCAGACCTGTATTTTCCCTCATATGTTTTTATTGGGTGCAGCTTTCTAAATGGTATTTTATATCAGCAATATGAATTAAATGCAAGTCTGCACATAGTATGTAAACGAAGCCTTTCAGTATTTTAGTTTTATTGTGACCATTTGGTATTGTGTCAGGAAAATGGTATGAACGTCCCTAATTGAAATCCAACATCTAGTTATTGTAGGAAGGCATTATTTCACACATCAGTCATTTCCCAATTATTTCCCAGCGGTTTCCTGACAGTGACTGTAATTTGGTACTAATTATAGGAAAAATGGATTGTATTGAGTTTCCAGTAAAACAAATTGGGAATTACTTACAAGGAAAATGTTGTAACCTTAAACACACTTTGGTCTGTATAGCCGATGCATTATTCATAGAGACTCCAGGTACACCAGTTTTAACAAACCCATCATTGTGCGCCACTGAAACATTAGAGGCAACCTCTGTCATCAGTGACAGAACTGCAGTCAGTTTCAATGAAGACGTCGACAGTAGTTTGTGACACAAGTTGCTATTGTGTGAGCTGCATAATGTCCCCACACTGCTGCACGCTGTACATAATAATCCTCCGTTTAGGGGGGAGGGTTAGAAGAAAACAACTCTTGATTAATATCAATACAATTTAAAGTGAGGTCCACTTGGCGTGATCATGTGGAACATGGTCTTGGTTCTGAATGTATTTGAATGTCTGTGGTAGCAGATTAAAGTGCACAGAACACTTTGTGATGGTTCGGATCGCAAAGCCTGAAAATGTAAGCAAATGACAGCAGGCTTGATGCTTGATGAATGAAAACACTTCTTGTTCTTGTGGGCATTGAAATTACAACAAAGAAACTTAGACAAAGTGAAACGGTACAGACCGGCGTGTTTAATAAGCACATTAGCATTTGTGACCGCGCTGCAGGGTTTGAGTTCACAGGTTTGAGTGCTTTGCACTTTTGACAGCTGCTAAAAAGACGAAAAACATTCTTGGTAAGAAGCGCTGAAGGCATGAAAAGAGAGAAATGCAATTTTCCTCCCTCGTGCCGTTGTGTTGATGCAACCTTTCATGGCTCTGTCATCACTGTGATCGATTTAAATCAAACAAATTAAATGTGTAAAATTTATAGAAGGCAAAATTAACAAAAGATTTCTAAAAATCTCCATGTGTCTTTTCTTGCCACCAGAGACAGTCCACGTGACATCCGTCACAGAAGCGAACCGAGCCACACAAACTAGCTGTGTGCAGATTAAGTATGTAATAAAAAGCACGTTTTGTTCTATTCTCAGGCGCTCCGACATACCACCTACCTCCAGTCAAGGCCCCCACGGGCAGCAAGAAGAAGAGCTCAAAGCATTGCTTCCTCTGTGGCAAGAAGACGGGGCTGGCCACCAGCTACGAGTGCAGGTAAGAGCCCGGCTGCTCATCTCGTCTCCACCCGTTCGGCACTCTTCTCCTCGGCGCTGCCGTTTTTTAGTAGAAAGTGATCTTCCCTCATTGTGTCTCTCAGCTCATCGCTCTGTGTCTCCAGTGAAACATGTTCGCAGCTCGTTCTGCCACCAGTTATTCGCAGCTTGGAAGTTTGAACTCGGGTCGCCTCCCGTTCCTGACTCAGACGCGACAATGTGTAACACAGGAATAAACTGAGTAATGTCATTTGAAATGCGTTCATATAGAATCTAATAGAAAGAGCAGTGTTGCCCTTTCTACAAATGGACTGACTCACGCAGAGGAAGCCCAGAGACTCTATTTCTATGATTGCTGATTTGATGGCTGATTGGATAAACCCAATACTTGTATGTCCTCTTAAACATACCATGTCAAGTCTTGCGTTTCTAGATCTTCAAATAGGTGCCAAAACATTTGTTTGTTCCCGTGTCTCAGGTGCGGCCACAACTTCTGCTGCAGCCACCGCTACGCGGAGACTCACGACTGCACATTCGACTACAAGGGTGCCGGGCGGAGATTACTGCAAGAGACCAACCCACTTATCAGCGCTCCCAAGCTGCCGAAGATCTAGAGCCTCCGACGCCAGCTGAGAGCAGAAGCTTATTCACCACTGTGTGCTTTTATTTTTTTACGTTTATCTTAATTTTTTAATATCAGCCAAGTTTGCTTAAAATTAAGAAAGTATTCTGCAAAGCCAAGTGTGAACTAACAAGAGTAGACTGAAAGAACAGATTTTCGACAATGTGAAGATGTTTATCCTTTTTATGTTAGTTCTTTTTCCATTCCGTAAAAGCAAAACAAACAAAAACACTGCTTGTAATGTAGGTCGTTTTCTGCTAAATATAACTGCTGCACGTTCAGACATAACTATTTTTAGTTTTGTCTGCCTTTTAAAAAAAACGAAAAGATAGGACCGCTGATGACTTCATTTGACAAGTCTTTGACAGATGCACTTTAGAGCTTATCATATTTATACTTGTAACTGTCCTTATTGTTTGGGAGAAGGATGCTTACATTTCTGTGTTTGTCATATAAAGTGTGTATGTTGTTGTTACTCAGATTTTTCTATTATTCACCTCTTAAAGTCTTTCTTACATGGGCACATACATAAAGACATCCCTAATGATATCTTTCTTAAAATAAACAACAGTCCACCCCCACACATTGATGAAATGCTTAATATTTATTAATGAATAACACTTATTTAATTCACGGTTGGTTTTTAGAATACTAAGTATGCAACGTGTGTGTAAGTGTGAGTGTCGGTTGTAATCTGTTTATCCTGTAATCCTATCGAGTAAACGGTATTAGGATGGGGGAGGGAGGGTTATGGTATTTATGATATGTCTACAAGTAAGATGCTTGCCATAAAAAAAATCTTTTGTAAGTCTTTTTTTATTGATCAGCTGTTGCAAAAACTTTTAATGCTGTTATAGTATCTACAGGAGTTTGCTCTAATAAAGTTTCTTTCCATACATACATGTGTGTCAGTCATCTAATTGTCTCATTTACGTCCTGCTGCGTTGTCCTTTAATAGTCCTCCTCGTGTTTTTTTTTTTGTTTTTTTTAGATTACATTCAACTTTATTGTCATTGCACAGGGTACAAGTACTGAGGCAACGAAATGCAGTTTAACATCCAACCAGCAGTGCAAAATAGCAAAGTGCAGAAGTGCAGAGTATGTGCATGTGTTAACGACCAGTATGTGAGAAACTGCTTGTCGTCACAGAATCATTTCTGTTGCATTAAGAGTTGTGATGCAGACCTACGGCTAGTTTCTTAGCAACGAGCTGACTGTTTTTGCACCTGTTGAAACCCTCATTCATTCTCGCCAATACGTAGAAAATATAGTTGACAAACAACTTCCTTCATAAAAGTCCCCATCTCGAGATAAGCTGGTCTTACTGGAATACAGTCTGCTGGTTTCGTTTCCCCAGCAGGTTGTGCGTTCTAAGAACCACAAAGAGTCGACGCCCTGTTACAAACACGATTTCGATTGGTCAGTCGACAGATGGATTCATCCCACGGGGGCTTTTGCTCCACATCTTCAAATAGTAATGGACTGTATTAATATTTTGTCTGCGAGATCACCTCAACGCTTGTTGTAGATTCTTAATGTGGACGAATGCAAAATACAAACTAATGGGAGAGTAGTGCCGGTGATGCACATATGAGAACACATTGTGTGATCCCAAACACAAACATGTTTTATTGCTTTGCTGGTGAGTCATTGAGCAGAAAGGCTCAAATCAAAAAGTGGAGGCGCTGCTCATTAAACACTTTTGCTTTCACTTTGGACGCTCGTCCTGTGCAACAGACAAACTGACCTGAGTCACGTCTCAGCGTTTTCATCTTCACTTCCCTCCTTCATGCTGTCTGGCTTTGATCCAAGATAATTGGGCTGTGCACCATATGCAGCCGAAGCTCTGCTGGGAAAATGCAACTCAACATGGAGTAGGGGAACTACTCCTCCATACAGCAGCAAGTCTGAATACTTTTCACTGAATTGTTTTCTTTTAACCACAATATTTTTGGGGCTTACTTTAACTAATATTCCTAAACTGGAAAGGATTTAAAAAAAGATGTAAGACATTGTAAGTTTATAATTAAGTAATCTCTAAAATAGGCCTAAAGACTCAGATTTGTGGTGCTGTGATCTCAAAATGCAGACACATACATATACACATTCAAAATGTGCAAACTCATCTCTGAAGTTTGCATGGAGAGGAACAGTCATCACAAGTACCTGCAGGAATGTGACAAACAAAAAGTACCCAAGTGGCTCTGAAGATATTCTCACATTTTAGTGCTTCTTCATATGCTGGTCCTTTTTCGTATTTACTTCGTAAGTATTTATAGTAAGTATTCAAAGGCAATCTGTGCCTCGTCTGTGATCAAAACACATTTGTCTTCCACGGAACTGTCATTGTTTTGGTAAACAGTTTCTGTGCTCATGAGGGCCTCACATGTGCTCCAAAATGCCACACTACCGGTTTGACAGGTTCACTCAGGTAAGACAAGAGGAAGGACACACGCTGAGAATAACTTCACACTTTGAAAAGCGAGGGCATCCTTAAGTCTGGTAAATGTTGTGAAAACGGTTGTTGCAGTATCACCAACACGGCGGCGTTCCACTTGCCTGCTTCTCTGCACGTCCAAAACACGACGAAAAACCCACATCACTGATCTCTCCATTCCACGCAGCGAGACGGCCTGCAGCCTGCAGCCTTATCTCTCCCAAGCACAGACGCATGCATGACAAATTGGCAGACTGACTTCTGAGGGGCCCACTTCGTCCAGACCGAGCACAGAGGCTCCGTTGTCCCATCACAAGGACGGCGTGGACGCACTGTGCATCAGTAATAAGCCCAAACACAATGTCAGGTCTCACGGAGATAGAGCCGAGGCTTTGAGTCGACGGAGGACACAGTCCCCAGTTTGATAAGTGAGTTTCGGCCCAACGCTCTGCGCTGTGAGTGGGGAACTCTTAGTTTTCCGAGCGTAGTGTGAATCACTGTACACTGGGGCCCATTCATGATCTGAAATAATGACCACCGAACCAGAATAGTCTGCTAACTGATGACATATCGGTTATGGAATTTCCACAAAATTGAATGTTAAATGTAGTGTTGAAGATAAAAAGAATATGTGTTATCATCACCACGTCATTTTGGGTCATTTCAGTCAGAGTTATCATAAAGGAGTACAGGAGTAAAAACTTGCCTGTCCGTGACAACTGAAACACAATGTAGCTGCACATCAAGAGGCAATTAATCACCATAAATCGGTACTCGCTGTTTGTCTAATGCGTCCAAAAACTGAGAAGAAATGGAAACAAAAATGACAATTCATGGTTATTTGTCAAAATACTTTTTAGCCAAAAGATGAGTACTTGTAAACTCCCTCAGTTTATTTGACACCTTGTTTTTTGTACTGTATTAATACACGAATGAATAAAGGTGTACTAATAATGAGTGGGTCCTTCGGGCAGAGCCAGGCTGGCTGTCTTATCTTGCTGTTCTTTGTGCTAAGCTAACTGCTAACTGGCGGACACACACACCTCAAGCTGACAGCAACCTGAGACCAACAGCTATTCCCTCTCTCTCGTTACTCTTTCTTTCTTTTTCGCATAAGTTACATGTCCTGCCAAACACATTTGTCTCTTTAGATGCTAAATGCAACACAGATCTTTGCTGCATTTCGGCAAATACATCCTACAGAGTACCTATGTTTTAATTAGGTAAAATAGTAGCATTAAACTACATTTTATTCAAAGTAGGGAAATTGAGGGTCAGGGTACAGAAACATTAAATAATAGAGTTTTAAATATCAACACTTGATACCGCATCATTATGATAATTCCCATCACACCCCCCCCTCCAAACAATGCGTGCGCCGCCTATCCTTTAAATTCATTATTTCCACTCGCCTTTTTCCTTTTTTTTCCCCTCGTTGACTTCATCCTAACGCGGAAGTCGGTGACGCACCGCTACACACAGCTGCTCAGCGGGGGCCACGAGATCAGCAGCGCGGCGTCATTCGGGCCCGAACGCAGCGGTGAGTGAGTGAGTGTCCGCTCGCTTCTGTTCGCTGCAAAACGTGGAGGAACGTTTGGCTCGACGCGGCTCGTCCTCCGTCTCCGCTTTACTAAACCCGACTGGAGGCGGACTGAGGTGCGTCTGGACTCCGCCGGCATGTGCATGTGTGAGAATGAGCCCCTTTCTGTTGGTCGTTGCGCCGCTGCAGGAGCCCCCGGGGACCGGGTGCTGTTGTTTGTTTGTTTAGGGGTGAGGGGGGGTGGATTTACGGTATGGCAACTGTCTGATTTAATGCCAGCGAATGGCGCGCTCTGCAGCGGACTCCCACACGCGCACCCGAGGACAATAAGAAGCCGTGTGCGTCTCGTGGATGCGCCGGCCCGGGGACCGTCCACCCAGCGCGCGCCGGAGCCCCCACGCAGCGTTGCCTTTGTTTAGTTCCCCCCCCCGCAGCCTTTTGTTACGCTCGGTTCGCGGTGGATTAAGAGAAGTGATCAGGCGTTTCCCGGTATCGGATTTTTATTTTGTTGTTGTTGTTGTTGCACGTCCTCGTTGTCTGGGATGCTATAGGCTTCCATTTGCATGCATTTACATCGGAGGTCACAGAGCGCCTTCTGAATTTAACACGGATCGATCGGGATGTTGATCGTGTGATCTCTTCATTTCGACCCACAGCGCAGATCCTTCATGTCTGAGGTCCATTTTGTTATTATGAGCCATAATAAAGCTCGTGGCTGCACTGTGTCAACAGGCGACTGCACCTCTTCACATATGGACAACACAATGTTTCATTTTCATTTCATCAGCTTAACGTCCACTACACAACAAGTCCACCCATGGACTTCACTGTAACACGTTGCTTTCCCTGAAATGGTAACAATTGTACCATCAGTAAATTGTTACCGTGGCTCTCACGTTACTCTTGTCTCCGCATTGGCTGGTGTGTGTGTGTGTGTGTGTGTGTGTGTGTGTGTGTGTGTGTGTGTGTGTGTGTGTGTGTAATGCAGTTGCAGCTTGTTAAAATTCCCTTAAAGCGGAGCCCTCCTGTGTGCTCTCCAGCTTTCTGTTCTTTGCAACCATTTTGTGATTTCCTACGGTTGTATTTTATTTCCTTCTGCCCAAGGGCGAACCTTTTACTCATCTCCGTTCCAAGGTAAACAGGCGAGGCGTCAGACGGCTCTTTCACAATGCAGACTTCAGTGTGTTGTTCAGCTTGTGTCGGGTTTAGAGGGAGAAGACCAGCTGTGTGCGTCTGTCACATCACTGCAGCCTCTGGTTGTGTCTTTGACAGCATGCTGAAATACTGAGGTCTTGTTGCGATAAGAAGCCTCATTGTCCCGCTGGTATCTGGGGAGTCTGCACGCACAAACTTGAAAACCCAATGCGTCTTCTCTCTGTCGGGCCCCATCCTGCCTCCTCACATGGCACCGCGGTATAAAATATGGCTTCTTTTATGGCCCAAATTTCCCTTTTACAACTATGCGACACAGTTGAGTGTTTGAACAATACGGCCGGTGGCCTTTTTTGTAGGGAAGCACTTGCAGATTCAATTTCGGTTTCATACGAGGAGCAGAACAAAAAAAAATGATATCTTGACTTTGAGCAAAATGCATTGGGAACTATCTTAATGTACATTAGCAGAAATAATAAAAATCCCAAAACAGAAGTAAACCTTTTTATTCATTAGCTGATTTTAGTCTATACTCTCCTGTTGAGTACACAGATAATGTAAGAAATGTTTTTGAATATCGCGCACACACCTTTACTTCATAAAAGTGCTTTAAGTATCGTATCAAGGGATTTTTAAAGTGCAATAGAGGTGAATGCACTTGCACCCAAACTTATTTGCAGCGTAAAATCCTTTTCATGTGACTGCGTCCTCGGCTTCAGACACCGCAGGTATCAACTTTTGCAGGTATCAGCGAGCGTTCTGCCGTTATGTCTCCCCAAGCACGTCCCTCAGGCTCTGAAGTTGTCCTGTCGGGGCCGAGTGCGAGAATGAGAATGTAAAGTCCTGATTATGATGCCAAATGGGAGGAAGAGGGCGACCTGAGGGGGGGGTGTTTAAAACGGCGCGTGAAGACGGCCTGTGCCATTGTGCTTTCAAAGGAAGTCCTGCTTTCTGTCTTCAGAGATACGTTCTGAGGAACGCCATTGACTAGGGGGGGGGGTGCAATCAGTATCTTGACTGCTCCGAACGCAGCTTTCTGCTAATTAACCGCCGCCACTGTTTGACACAATTGGAGAAGGGTGCCTCCCGCAGTACTTTACTATATGGGAATGAGGATGTGGATGACCGCCCCTATTGTTTCCCGCTACAGAGGTTCCAATCAAATTAATTTAACAACATTCAAAACCCCTTCGACTTGCAGTAGAGTTGTGGAAAAGGGTTTTTAGCTCCGGTGCACCCAATCTCACTCTTAATTCCTCTAATCGGTTTTTACGTTCATGTTGGACCAATGCTTCGGCGGTTTGCAGTAACGGAGTCACTGTAGCAGGGTCGGGTGTTCTGGTCGGCAAAGTTTCCTTTTAACTTCAGCCTTCGCTCCAAGAACATGAAAGGAGAGAATGAAAATAACTGTTTGTTGATTCTACTACTTTTGCGCTGGAAAGTTGATTTACTGAACACAATTGTATCTTCTGAGTGACCGTTTCCAGAGTCAATTTAAGTATTTTTGGGGCACCATGAGATGGACACGGAAATTTGTGATTTCACCGTTTTGCTGCTCTATATCGTTTTCGTCAAAGACCGGCGCTCTACCTGGGGGGGCTTGTTGGTCCAGAGGAGGAGGAGGAGCAGCGGTTAGGAGCAGACCTCCCCACCCCCCCAATCAGAGCACCATCTGCAGGCCAAAGTCTACGGCAAAGCCGGGTCTGGGCTGATGGAGGTTCTGGTTTAGTCCCGTAGAACAGACTGCCTGACGACAGGCCTTAATACCCACCGTCGTTATGTAGACCTGCAGCAGCCACGCCGCTGCTCTTGTTTTCATATGCAAGTCAAATGGAGGCATCAGTATTGAATGAACACTTATTTATAACCCGTTTTAAAACATAAAAAATATGGTTAATCTAAAAGAACCTAATCTAAATGTTTTTATAGTAGAGGAAGGGATATTGACCCTTCGTTAACTGAACCCCTTCTGATCAGCACCGTGACCCAATCAATAGCACTCTATTATTATTTCAACCTGCTTCAAAATGGCACCTTGCAGCCGCCGTTTTCTGTCTTGCACCGTGGTGTTTAATGTAAGTAAGTGTAAAGCAATATTCATTGCGTTTTGCGAAGGGACATGAGATGGATCCGGCCGACAAAAGTCTGTCCTCATAAGTGTCCTGTTCCCTTTTACAGAAGTGCGCGCGTGCTTTACTGCACAATGTGGATTCTCGCTGACTCCTCTTGACTGGGAGGAAGTCGGCACCGTGTGAGTCGTTGCCTTCCAGGAACCTTCCAGTAAGACTTTCAGTTTAGCCAGTTTTACTTTTTGAATTGACCCTCAGCCGGACTAATTAAAAGCACCATTAACAACAGTGCCGCCATATGGCTCCCTGCATTTGTATCACGAGGTTTCCGGTACCTGGTAGACTCCGAGGCAGCTGTCCCGCGCGGCTTTCGTTATCTGATGCTGGACTATAATCGTATGAACGTGTCCCTTGCAGGTCTCGTGGTATCGGCCTCTGGCTGGGCTGTAATCCAATAACTTAATAAAGGTATGATAGTGTCGTTTCTCCTCTCAATCCTGCTGCTGCGCCCCTCGGTGTCTGGTCTTCATCTGTGGGGAATATGGTACGATATTGATCCAATATAATGACTTCCTCTGGATGATGTCATGCACCGGTGTGCGCTAAACCTTACTGGGAAAATGCTAATGGCCGTATGTGAAACACATTGTTTATCAGACGGCAGGACCGGGGTTTTATTGATATAATTATTACAGATCTTAACAAGCCTCCTCGAGGCCGACTCTGAAACGTGTGCGTGTGTGCGTGTGTGCGTGCGCGTGTGCGTGTGCGTGCGTGCGTGCTGCACTGGTGCAGTGAAATGATAATGTGGGTATGAAGAGGGCGTAGTGCTCGACAGCTGCTATACATCAGCCCAGCAGAAGCGCTGAATCAGCCGAATGGACGGCGGGATGGCACCGCTGCGGGTAGTGCGACGTGGTTGATGATGTCATTAGAGCTTTCAGAGTCTCCCAAAGGTTTCTGTCTGCTCGTGGCAGCGACGCAAGACGAGGGTGTGGAGAAGGAGCCGCAATGGAACAATACTGTGTTGTCGTATCTGTATTAATAACCCAAATATTCTGCATAGTTTCATTTTGCCTCTAAGCGCACAACGTCTACGGCAGTGTTTGGTTTGTATCAACTGGAGGGGCATCTTTTTGCTTTTTTTTTTGTTGCTGTTTTTCTTTCCTTCGGAACATTATCAATCCACAATTTAGTTGTGTAATTCACCGGAGTGCTCGTAAACAGAACATTATAATCAACGGATCTTTGGAAGTCCCAGCAGAAGAGTCCCTGCTGTCACTCATTATGTATATGAAATTGTTTTTTCTTTTTCTTTTGTTTTTTTCTTTTCTAATTTGATTTGCTATTTGCATTTGTGCGTATTCACGACTTAAATCTCATTCAATTGTACATTCATATCAGGATCCATCCGCTGCTGCTGCAGCAAAAATCATTCCCGCTCTGATCTCTTCTGTGTCACATTTAGTAGTGATTTTAAATGATGAATTAATCCCGTCATTGCGTGTGCAAATTAGCTTTAGAGACACGATGGCTTGTAGGACTTTGATTCAGCTGAACTAATGCGAGTGGCTGTGCACACTTGTTGAAGCTGGCGTGACCACGTGGACGACCTACGCCAACATTCCAACCGTCCAGGTGTTCAGCCGTAATGACGGGTCCAACGGGTCAGCTGACCTTTCTTTGTAACCACTAGCATAATGTGTGCTGCCCCGGGACGGATTGGCTGCTCTATCCGGTTATGAGGCCGGCGTGACGCGACCTGCTGCTGTATGCGACTTTATTTAGGAGTTGAAACAGGTTTTGATGGATACGTCGCCCCCTCAGGTTTTAGCCTCTTTAGTTTGAAGATGATCTGGAGCAGCTGTCTGAACAACACTCATTGTATTTATGTG